GTTGGGTTGGTAGGTAGTTCATATAGAATAAAAATGTGTAATACTATCATTTTCATGGTGAAGTATGTTACATTTATGTCAAGATCGGGGGGCGAGTACTAACTTTAGAAAAGATGAAAAAAAAGCATTTTTAAGTATAGGGATGAGGAAAAGAAAATAGCAATTAAAATGGGAAAGCTAGGATCACATTTTTTAAAGTGGGAGCAGCTTAAGATTAATTAAGATTTGCTTTCTTCTCCACCGTGAGCTTGTTAAAAGCGTAACTCGATTTTGCGGCCTGGATAACTTATTTAGTATATTTTTCTTAAGTTGAGAATGTTGGCAGACATCCACTGAGTGAGTACTGTGTGTGTGTGTGTGTGGGGGGGGGGGTGGGTGGGTGGGTGGGTGAGTATGTGTGTGAGTGGGTGAGTATGTTTGTGTGATAGAGGGTGAGTATGTCTGTGTGATGTAGGGGGCAGGGAGGGGGCAGGATTGTTTCAGTAAAATTATCTCCAGATTTGTTTTTTTTTTGTAATATATAAGTAAATAACATTTACAATTGACATAATGTTTAGGTACTTATACGTTTACTTTGTTGTTAAGTTATATTATACTGCAAATAAGTTTGTGTTTAATTATGTTTATGTAAAAGCATCAATATTGAACACGTTTATTTTATTCAATTGTATGTCATGGTTTGTGTTACACATCTGGAGAAATAAAACAAAATTGTTAAAAAAAAAAATTAAAAAAAAAGTGTGTGTGTGTGTGTGTGTGTGTGTGTGTGAGATAGAGAGAGCGAGAGAGAGAGAGAGAGAGAGAGAGAGAGCGGTAGAGAGGTGGATCTTAAAATTGTTTATGTGACAATAATAGTTAGCTTTATGAAATTATATTCGGCAACGGTTAATCTGTGATATTTTGTGAGGAAATGTTCATGAATCCTAAATGCCAACAATATAGTACGATCGGAACACTTGGTTTTGTTTAGACACAACTGTTGTTATTGCTGTTTGAAGTTGGCACCTCGACAAAATTATGTCCTGTGTATTTTTTTAGTTGCTGAAAGGAAGGAGTCAGAAGTCACAGTTGGTCAAGGGAGTAAGTAACGGATATCGTTTCAAATCCTCGAGATAAGAGTGACACGTACTCTTATCTCTTAATAAATTCTTGCTTTGCATTTTAAGAATCAATTATGATTGCAACAATGTGATATGGGCCTACTCGTCAGGTACTTGTTAAACGGTTAAGAGCCCCCCCCCCCCCCCCCTCCTCCTCCCTCCCGCCTCCCGTATTTAGAGTGATGTCCCCTAGTTTCCTGGAAACGATTTAGATGCGCTTCATTCCCGTTTTCACAATTTATTTATGGTTCTGCGTGACTATTCTGTCCGAGGTCGTTCGATGACAATACATCCATCTTGCATTGACGAAAGGAGATTGAGTCATCGCACAAGTCAAAGGCCTACGAGAGGTCGCTGACCGGGTGACACAAAAGATTGGGACGCTTTGGGTTGCCTACGTATAAGCATGGACCATGGTATAAGTCTCCCGCCAGTCGCTCGCGTATCCGCATAGCAATGAAGCGAAACGAGGGCCAACTGGCCGTGTATTTGTGAAAGGTTTGTGTTTATTGGTTCAATGAGCAGATTTTGTCTTCCTTGTCCTTCCTTGATGATAATATTGATATTAGTGAAGTGAAACCCACGTACGTGTCTCAATTCCACTTTTTCAGTCAGTATCTTCTTTAAATGTTGTGGAATCAAGCCGCAGCTGCGCTTGTATGAATAGGCTTATAAAAAGGCTATATACAAATCACAATCATTTAATCGTGAATTATCCCATATTATTGCTCTGTATGAAATGTCAAAATGTCTTCCTCTGCCTAAGATATGTATTGCATGTGATAAATACATTTAGAGACAGCACATTTGAGGCCTATTTTACTAACATCTTGTATTCTATATCCCACCTTTTCCCCACCCGTTGATTTTGCAATTGGCCATATAACGAAGCGCAAGCAAGCTACATATTTAACGAAAGAGGGCGCTTATCTAAAATTACGAAAGGGTCATCCAGTGAAAACTTGAAAAGTCATTTGTTTTGCAAGTACCGGTATACTTGTTTGGTCAAACATTTAGCAGAAATTGAATCTCATCATTTTACAGAAAATAATTTGACTTTCTCTTCAGACAGTTTCCGAAAAGGGTGAGAGTAAAATAGTTTTATGCCATATGAACTCAAATGTAAATCCAAACTTGATAGCAAACTGCTATAGAGAAAAGAAGAAATACCAAAGAAGTAGACTGGTGAAAGTTTGAATGAAATCAGAGAAAAAATGACAAAGTTGTGATTTTTTATAAGTTGTAATCGCCACTGGTATGGACTCTTCAAATTGGCTGAATCGGAAATGTCTCTGTGATGTAGTGACAGACAACGTCCCCATTTGTTCCAACACACAGAATGACTAAAATTTCAATTTTTCAAAAATGTATTGCTTTGGAACGTCTTTTCTCTTTAGAGGAACTATTATGCTATCCATAATTCGTCTGTAGTAGTGCCCCAAGGGAAAAGCACTTGGGAGAAAAATATAAATTAATGTGATATTTTTGACCATCCACTGACCAAACTACCAACTTGACATTTGTAGAGACTTAGTGATCTCATATTTCAAATATTTATAACTTTATTGTTCTTTAAGTTTACTCATGGATAAAATAACAAACTCGGGAGAATATGCTTTATCCCCCTCTAAATATTGTAGAATTCAACGGTTTATATGTAGGGGAAAATAGTTCTATAATATCAATACACGTCAATACACAATAAATTTTAGGTCTACAATTCCGACTTATCAATATGAAGTAGAAGAATCAGCCTATTGGACAAAATCCATTTATAATCCTTGTCCTGTAACCCCCTTAGCCCTCAACTTTTTCCATGACACACCCTAAAAAAGACCTCATCGCTTATCATGGGTACCAAAATCCATCTTTATTTTATTCACTTTCTTTCTCAGTCAATCATAACCTAACCCAATCATAACTTATCCTACTTGGCAACTTCAGTGGAAAGCACTTATTATTATTATTATTACCGGTACCCATTTCTTTTATGCATACAACTTACTTCCAAGAGTCTGTATAATTCTAATCACGAAATCAACTTCCTCATCTCCCTCTCTTCCTTTTCTTCCCTTGTCTCTTTCTCTCTCTCTCTCTCTCTTGTTTTCTCCTCTTTCCCTTCCCTATCTTTCCTCCTCTTTCTCTCTCTCTTGTTTTCTCCTCTTTCCCTTCCCTTCTATATCTTTCCTCCTCTTTCTCTCTCTCTCTTGTTTTCTCCTCTTTCCCTTCCCTTCTATATCTTTCCTCCTCTCTCTCTCTCTCTTTCTCTCTCTCTCTCTCTCTCTCTCTCTCTCTCTCTCCTGTCACAGGTCTTTTCAAAATTCAAGAGTTGAGAGTTGAAAGAGAAGAGTAAGACAGAGAGAGATATATATATATATATAGAGAGAGAGAGAGAGAGAGAGAGAGAGAGAGAGAGAAGGGGAAGACTGCAAAGACAGAAAGAAGGAGAGAGAATCATCAATCATGTTACATTTCTACGAACATATTCAAATTATTTGAAAGCATCTTGTACACCACAGAATAATGTAGAAAATTTGACACCAATGTGTTTATTCATGATCCTGAAATAGATGTTACACAAGCATATCACACCAATCATCTTTAGCACACTAAAAAATGAAAAATATCAGCAAACGGCCCCATAATCCCTGTCAAGCAGTTGTCTATGGCATTCATACAATAAGAAAACGTTGGTATTATTTACAAGGGTTTACATGTATATATTAAAATTCATGCAGTGATTAAGACTTCAAGTCAGGTTTTGATGCTTATTTGATTCGACTACGATAAATTTGTTGAGTATTTCATAGGACCATTTACAAACACGGAGCACATACTGTTCCATAATATTATCCATTCTAAAAAGAATATTTAGAGTACAGTATCATATATCAGTCTATATACAGTTTTGTGCCCATGCTTCAGCCTAAGGTACCTAATGTAGAAAATATTGCAAATGCATATACGTGACGGATGAGATTTGTGCTTCAAAATATATGTATGACGGTGAGTAAAGATAACACTTTTTTTGAGAATGGTAATTACTTGCAAAAATGTGTAAATAAATTTAATATTCCACTAGAAATACATGCATTCTTTCAGAGAATTAAATACAAAGTGTAATATACTACTTGTAGCACAAATGAGATAATATGTTGTCTTGTACATTACCAAGACTAAAAGAATGCACAACAATGCAGGTGGAATTTGGTTTGCTTTAAGGCTTTATAGGTTCCTGCCACCATGATATTGGAACATTATTTATAGGCATGGTGGCCCATTAGCAGACCCCAAAAATGAAATCCTCTGAATATAATAAGCATTTTGAAGTGAATATTGACCAAGAATCAACAGAAGAATATTTAGTATTGATTGTACCAGGATCGATAACTTGAATGAAATATGAACAATTTTTTTTTTTAAAATGATTTATTAATTCTCATATTAAGTTGTGAAAACATCATTCAAGTCTACTGACCTAAAATGACTTTTGACCTTGTGACCTGGAATTTGTGTCATATGATTTTTGATACTTTCATGGAATTTGAACAAACAATTTTGAAAATATGCTAAAAATTCAAAATCTTGATGTTGATGCCACAACAAAGTCTAAGTTTGTTGACCTTAAATGACCTTTGACCTTAACTTAGTGACCTGAAATTCCACTCACATGATTGGGGATACTTGATAACCCTATAGTCTAAGTTTCATTGACTAAGAACTTATACTTTCAAATTATATCAAAAATTCAAAACTTAACCTTTAGTTAAGTTTTCGATGATGATGCCACAAAATAGTCCAAGTCTGTTGACCTGAAATGACCTTTGACTTTGTGACCTGAAATTCTACTCACATGATTGGGGATACTTGATAACCCTATAGTCCAAGTTTCATTGACTAAATACTTATACTTTAAAATTATATAAAAAATTCAAAACTTAACCTTAGGTTAGGTAAGTTTTTGATGTTGACGCCGTTGCTGCCGCCGCCGCCACCGTCACCGTCAAAAGCGGCACCTATGTCTCGCTTTTTGCTACGCAGGCGAGACAACAATTATGATGATGTTGGTAACATACAGGACAAAATACTTTGGACTTGGTAAAAATAACTTCAACTTTAAGATTCTTCAATAATTGCAGCAATGTAAAATTGTCCTTAATCTTGCACAATAATTTGGGCAATCTTGATGAGCTTCTTGAAGTTATAGCCATGCTCTGGCTCAGAGGGAGGGTAGAGGATACTAAAGCCAAAGGTCACCGAAACGGAGAGGATAGCGAACGTGGTGAGGAGAAACCTGAGAGAGCGGAACCAGGATGGGAAGGACTTAAAGCGAGAGTCCACAATCCCTGCCAGCGCAAGACCCGTGATGATGCAGACGAGACCCGGCTGGATGGGCATGCTGAGACCCGTCCAGGCAACAAGCGAGGGCAGCACACTGGTTACGAGGCTCGAGGAGGTGGGGGTCTCACTGGGGGAAATAGCAAAGCCCCATCGGACACCACCTAAGAAGGACAGGATGCAGGCACCGTAGGCGACCTGGGCGAAGGCGACCTGAGGTCCGCAGGAGAAAGTGATGATGGAGTAAGCTGCAGGAGCGATGAAAGGTATCAACCCAGAGAATCCTAGGACGAGCGCTGCTGGTGGAGCGGACTTCAACTGCATCTTGTGTCTCTGAAACCAACCGTCCTTGTTTGCCAATCCATCTTCATCATTGACAACCTGTCTCTTGCTTGCTGTGACATGGTATTCAGCAATACAAGGTTTGCACGATGAGAGGGACCCTGCTGTTCTTAAAATGTCACTTTGAGAGTGGAGACTTTGCACCGTTTGTTGCAAAACATCATTTTTATGTCCTTGCAAACTGTCCAATAAAACAGTGCTTGACTTTCTATTGTGAGTGGATATTAACCATGGTGTCTGGGTTACATTGGAAGATGTTCTGTAGCTGCTATTGGCTGCAGGTACAAAGTGTCTTTGAGACTGTTGACTGGAGAAGCATGGTGCTCCCAGATTTCCCTGTACAATTTAGAGGGAGAAAGATAAAAAAAAACATATCATATGACATTTAATCATAAAATACTGGTAGTGATACTGCACTTCAAGAGAGAATGTCAACATATCGTTAATTTTTTTATTTCTTTATGCAGGGAATTGTTGTTTTCATGAGCAAAATGGAAATCTCATAAACTGTGAGACAAACACACATATGATATGACTACATTTTCTCTTGAGCCCAATGGGTGCATACCGTGCATACTGTTTCAGAATGTGTATGTCTCCAAAAAATTCAAACTATCTTTGAAGACATATAGTTCTTTGGAGCTAAAGGAAATGTTTTCGATTTAGTGATGATTTCAGTTGGGGAACAGGTGAGGATGAAGCTACATAGCTAGCTACACTATGAATATGACGGACAAAGAAAGCGGACAAAATATACAGTTCCTCAGGTAGACAAAGAAACATCCCTTCACTGCTATTATGTAAAATGTGTAGAACAGGTGAATATGCATGTGACACCTGTTCCACACATTTTTAAATAAAGGCAGTGACGGGATGTTCCTTTGTCTACATGAGGAACTGTATATTTTGTCCGCTTTCATTGTCCGTCATGTTCATAGTGCTAGTTTGTTGTTTACAATTCAGGTAAAGATGGAACAACTTACAAACTATTTCACATAACAAAAATAAATGAAGATTGGGCTAACACAGAGAGGAAGTTTAACATGGTATTGGATAAAATGGCCTTGTAAAATGTCTTGGTGTACATACCTGGAAGATAGATGTCCCAGGCTCCAAACAAATTCTTGACAGAACATTTCTCCCACTACCAAAGAGTCTAATCTTGCGTAGCAGCATTTTATCCAAGGAAGACCTATGCAAAAGTTTAACACTGCTCACCAGGTTCCAGTCACTGTATCATCGAGTATACCTCTGGAGGACTGTTGATAAGTACAGGTCTACACAACAATTGACTCTTGTCTCAACAGCTTTAGGAGATAAAACCTGGAAGTAGAAATAACAGAGAATTGCAGCAGAAAACTTGATTAGTGGCCAAGACATGATGGGAAAGGGGGGGGGGGGGACTTCAAACAAAATTTCCTTGGTTAACTGGAATACTGGAAGCAAGAATAATCAAGAATCTCAATTCTCATGACTTACCTGAGAGGATAAATGTTTAAAACATATATTTTCAAAAGTCATAACACAAACTGCGAAGTAATGAGGATCTGAGACATTACGGTAGATAACTTCACACAGGCGCGCCCGCCCACCAACAACCTACGATCGGTATGCACTTATATTGTGCACTGGTTTGCCATGAAACCTGTGTAAAAGTGTATACTAATATCAATGTTTTTTCCAAAAATGCTCCCAAAATAACAAGATAATTGACACGAAATAGGTAATAAACATAACAAATTTTAATTCATGATCTTTATTTGGACATTTAATGAATATTCACTTCATTTTGGGTATGTTTTAGTAGGGTATCTCCACACTGGAGTAACGGGTAAAATTTTGGATAGGCTTCTGAACAAGCGCCCTATAAATTAGCACGTTTGCAGCGCTAGAGGTCAATACCCATTGACTCATCTGATCTATGCTTGCATAGACCGAATTTTTCTGTCTCTTTCGTTCGTTAGCCTCTGATTTGGGTAGGGTCGGCTCTCTCTTAGAGACAGAACAGCCCTATACGCTTTAGTGTTCACGCTTTGTGTAAAGAAACATTACACCAAACTTGGCAAAACTACCGGCCAAATTCCATATTTCACAGGATGCATATCCGGTGCATTTCATTTTGACAATTAGGTCTAGGCTTAACTACTTCGGTTTCACTTACCAACTTGACTGAAATAATCCGTTTAATGGTCCCTTTTTAGGAAATTATGGTCAAAATCGACATCCATGATAAAAATCTTGAAGCGGTGGTTTAAAACTCTCGCTGCGCATGACGTCATCTAAATCTCGTCCCTTCTACTCTATGCCAAAGGCAAAATGATTATAACGGAAAAACTGTGCATGTCATTACGAACTCGTAGCTCGTGCACAGTTTTTCCGTTATAATCATTTTGCCTTCGGCGTAGACTAGAAGGAATGAGACCCGGCTGCAAGATTTTCTTCATGGATGTCGATCTTGACCCATAATTTCCTGAAAAGGGACCATTAAACTGATTTAAGTAGTCAAGTTGATAAGTGGAACCGAAGTAGTTAAGCATTTTAGGACTTTAAATGCATCGGATACGCATCCGGTAAAATATCAAATTTAGGTATTAAGTTTGGCCAAGTTTTGTGTAACGTTTCTTTACACAAACGCGCGTCCACTACAGCGTATAGGGCTGTTCTGTCTCTAAAGAGAGAGCCGACCTTGATTCAGAGGCTAACGAACGAAAGAGACAGAAAAATTCGGTCTAGTCTAGACTATGCTTTGCATTGCTGGAGTGGTAGATCTAGAGGTCTACAGATTTACACAAAAATATAATGGGTTTGTGTAGATTTGGACAAACGATGACATAGACTAGTCATTAGGGCGCTTTAGTAACGAGACGGTACGCACAGGAGACGGTAATGCGAGCGAAAAAACAAACTGCGCATGCGCGATTCTGAATTATCTCCGTCCAGTCGATTTTCAGAACGGTACTCGGCCAACATAGCGTTCGTTCCCTAAACACGACGTAAGAGAGAGAGCTGACAAATAATTTGTATCTATATCTAACAATGCAGGGCCCTACTGAAGATAAAAACAGGGAATCTACTAGTGTTTCCAATGTCTGTTCGGTATCTATACCTCAATCTACAATAAATTGATGGTTTGGCCGTTTAGGCCTACTTTGGGGGCCCTTTTTCATCGTTATGCATGACGTGCCTGCACGCTGCGCACTACAGCCCACCGCCGGTCTATTGCCCCGACGCTCCGGCCAAGCCTCGAGGCCCAAGAGCACTAGCACCAAAATGCAGCAGGTGTGCAGTTCAGCGCGGCTTTGCGTCCCCATCGCCTTTACTTTAGCAGACAGCGAAAGCGCTTAAATATCACGACGCCGACGGTAACAAGAGTGCGAGACCCGTCACAGTTGGTTAAACACTCCGTCTCCTGTGCGTACCGTCTCGTTACTAAAGCGCCCAAGTGATTCAAGTCGACCGAACGATTCGGTCTCTGATATGAACGGTTATTGTTACTCGTATTTCTCCAGCCCGGCCCAATTAATTGCCCAGCCAGCCAAGACGCATGCCCCGCAACCCGCCAGGAGCTAAGCAGAGCAAGGCTCCTGGCGCTGGCGCGAGAGATATTGTCGGAAAGGTGTACCAAAGTGGCAAAGAAGTAATCATTTACATATTCCAGAAGTATAAATTAAAAATTCAAACTGGACACAAATCTTTACAATTTCATCGTCTTCCACATCAAACCATTATGTGCACATTACATGCACGGACAACATTACAAAAAGGGTAATTTCGCAAGACCGCCTCACCTTATTTATTTCTCTGCGTTCGTTCGGACTCCTCCCATGTGTTGATAGTCTACGATCACACTTTTGTTTGTGTGCTGTCGGTATATTTCGATGCAGCTCGGTATTTCAACAATTCCAAAGAAATAAAATTGACTTGAGCTGAATCTAAACCAAAACATGGAAGAAGAAGAAAAAAAGAAGTTGAGAGTTTTTTCTTGGCATTTCTTTCATTAATATCTCGCCCCCTTGAGAAAAAAAATCATGTAAAATCACGTGATTTTTACCTTTTTGGGGGGTTGGGCCCCCGCCCCCCCTGGCGCTCAAGGGGGGGGGGGGGGGGGGGGGGGGGGGGGGGGTGCAAATTGAAATTTTTTTGAGGATCAAAAAAAAAAAAATGTGCTCACTACCCCCCCCCCCCCCCCCCCCCCCCCCCCCCCCCCCCCACTGAGCGAATTTTTGGCCGGCGCGTTTTTTCAAATTTTCGGGAGCAAAAAAAAAAAAAAAATTGTGCTCTGTACCCCCCCCCCCCCCCCCCCGCCATTATGGCCCCCCCCCCCTTAAGATCTCGGCCGCAAAGCGGCCGATTGCCGCGAAAATTTGCACGCATATCAAGTGAAGTGTATAGAATAATATGATAATTTCAATTTTTTGAAAAATTCACTCATTTGCATATTTATGGTAATTTATGCAAATAAAGTCATAAAAATCACATTTTTACCCATAAATCATATATTATTCATATTTAAGCATTCTTTTTCACTACATATATTCACTAGACCATTCTCAATAACAATACGACAAAAAAATTTGGAAGAGCCAGCTTATTCCATGTGTTATCCCTTGTTTTGATAATTTCTTATGTATTTCATTGTTTTCTTAACTTATGTATTTCATTGTTTTTGTTGTTTTATTTTATTTCTTACTACAATTCGACTATTTTAACTTAAAAAACAACCACCTAAACTTTAAACAAGACCCAATAACCCATGTTTGATCTGTTTTTAGGAAAAAATGACTTTTCCATATGTTTTGTACACAAACCACGAAAATGAGCAATTTTCAGGCTGACATGCAAAGACAAAAGGTCACGTGACCTTGTAACCGTAGGTCCGATTTTCAAAAAATTATTTCAAAAGTTGCGCAAGACTCGAAAGAAAAAAGTCAGCGAGCGGTGGGGCGCCATCCATATGCGTTGAGGGGTAGGGGGCCATAATGGCCCCCCGGCCTTATTAGGGTTAAACATGAAAAACAATTTTAGTTATTTCCTTCTTCTTAGTGGGAAACAATGTTTCAGTTTCAGTTTTTGTTTCCAAATTTTACATGATATACAAATATTACAATATGAATTCTTTGTAAATTATAATTAGGCCCCTACATGTTACAAATGCTTTTAGCTTTTACAAAAAGACGAATATATTTATTTGATAGTGAAATATGGCAAAACCTTATAAAACGCATAGGTTCCGTACAAAATATGATGAAGAAGTAATTTGACATGGCGCGATGCCTAAACCCCCCCCCCCCCCACCCGCCGTATATACTCGATATTAAAAGGAGCATAACTTAGGGTTCTGTGCTGTACGCAAATTTTATATTCTTTTATCAATATTCGACTTCCAACACATTTGTGTCGGGAACCTTTGCTGACGTGTATTTTAAATGGCATCCCCTTTCACATTATGAAAAAATTTAAGTGCAATTTTGCCATCAAATTTTAGGGCTCCCAACACTTTAGAGAGGCTTTAAAAAGGAGGAATATAGGAGGAGGAGGACAAAGGTAGAGGAGAAAAAGAAGATTGTACTTTTTCCTGAACTCTCCCATCAGTTCGGCCTGGAGGCCAGTTTTTTATTTGCAACATTGCATTTTGAAATAGATTTTGTTTAGAAGAATACTACGGAATATGCAGTGCGTCCCAGAAAAAACGAAACCGAGATTAATTAATGAATGACATAATTTGGAAAGCTATGATCCTCTTCTTGCATTATGATGCAACTCATATGATGCTTATTTCACTGCCCTTTCATATGATATATAAGAAAAAAAAGAAGAAGAAGAAGAAGAAGAAGAAGAAGAAGAAGAAGAAGAAGGAGAAGAAGGAGAAGAAGAAGGAGAAGAAGAAGAAGTAGAAGAAGAAGAAGAAGAAGAAGAAGAAGAAGAAGAAGAAGATGAAGAAGAAGAAAGAGAAAAAGAAGAAGAAGAAGAAAAAAAGAAGAATGAGAAGTAGTTGTAGAAGAAAAAGTATGAGAAGAAGAAGAAGAAGAAGAAGAAGAAGAAGAAGAAGGCCTAGCTTATAGAAGAAGAAGGGTGTACATTTGCCTAATATCCCCATCAGGTAGAATGTAACTTGTATAACAAAATTCTGGAAGGGGACAGATAATCAGTTGCTTATTATTACCCCACAATAACATTCGAAATTGAATATTTAACTATACCCTTCGCGTATAAAATCAAGATTATTTTGCTCACCACCCCCTTCCCTTTCATAAAAAAAAACACGTTTTTCATATTGAAAACTTGGGGGGAAAAGGCTTCTTTGGGTTACCATAAAGGCAATATAAAATATCTACAAACTATTGTGTTGCTCATATTATTATAAATTGAGAGAGTCATGTTTGCGCCGACTTGTATCTCGTCGTTTACGAGATTTACTGTTACATGCATAATAACGAGATTACGAGCGTAAAAGAGCTAGCGATAACATCCTCCATGTTGCTTTGCTTTATGCCAATGCATGCTCGAGATAGGAAAAACCACACAACAACAAAACGCGGAATTGATTGAATATTTTTGTTTCACTGACGATTACAGTTGAAAAATTCATCGATATACTACAAATTGACCAGCTGCTGATTCTATAAAATATTTTCACCCATTTAAGCTGAAAGAAACCAGTCGGAAGATTTTTTGAGGTAATGTAAGCATCGTTCTTTGTGGTCATTTTGTTCTCAGTTGAAGTTGATTTTTTTCGCGGGACGCGTTGCTGTAACGTTGATAGCCGTGTTATTTCAATTCAGTGCACATTTGTAGTGCAACGGTTTTCATGTCGTGCAAGCCGATCAGATCTAAAAAATTCGTCATGTAACTGAGACAGCCCTTTTCATTAAACATTGTTGGTGGAGAAAATAAATGTTTATGATTATTTGATTGATATAATAATGTATGACATACAAATTATTGTTTTTAATCTTAAACTTTAAGTTAAAACGAATCATCAATTCATCTGAATGATTGTGAATCTGATGACAGTGATGTCCATGTCCGACTCCAACTTCGAACAGAATCCAAGCAATAATGCTGAATTTGAACATTCGGCTCGTCTTGAAATGCTACATCCCAAGGAACAGGAGAGTGGAGGTATTTGACCCCCCAAAAAGTAGATTTGTTTAGAAGAAGATGAAAAGTAGAAAAGAAAAAGAAGAACAAGAACTTGAGAAGTCTGACTCTGAGTAGAAAAAGAGAAATCAGTACAGTAGGGGCGCTGGTCCGAGAATGAGGATCGTCCTCACAAACGAGGATATCCTCATAAACGCGGAAAAAATGCGTCCTCCTCATAAACAAGGATCATCGGCATTTTCGCAGACATTTTTTTTCTTGGGAGCTCTGCGGGTTTCGGGTTACCGAACCGCCCGCTGGCAATGCTAAATTTGGATTTCGCGGGGGAAAATAACCCTAGTTGATCGTCTACTTTTATGGGTTGTCCGTCTTCCCAAGGATTTATTGCTCATAACGTGAAGGTCTCCGTATAAAGTCAATGTAAAATGCATCAAGAAAATCATCCCGGAATCTGTTTTTTTGCATCGCCAATGGGCCAATCAAAAATATGGAACATCTGCTTTTTTGCAGACGATCCTTGTTTTTGAGGACGCATTGGTCCGCGTTTACAAAGACGATCTTCGTTTATGCAGACTATCCTTATTCTCCGACCAGCGCCCCTACTGGAAATGAAGGAGGAGGAAGAATAAGAGAAAAAGGAGGAGGAAGAAGAATATTAATTTTTGTGTCAAATTAATGCAATATTTGATCTGGACACGTCACATGACTGGAATGAAATTTTCTTCAACTTGAGTTCAGAATCATTCTATTTTTTAACTTTTAAAAGAGAAGAACATCTGTTTGTTGGTGTTATACAAAATTACAAATAACGCACGGCCCAGTGTGCATTGGTGCACAGAGGCGGCACCAATCCAAAGAAACCTTGTGTGCACTGCATTTACATTACGCACAACAGGGTCAAGTACGTTATTTGTTTTTATAAAATAGCAACACATGATTATCGGTACAAACGAAAGTCTCGGAGAGTTATGCAATTTCTAGAAAATCTGTTTTTTCCATCGCCAGCGCGCGGTTCGGAAACCCAAAACCTGCAGAGCGTCAATGACGCAATTTGTCCACGTTTATGAGGATATCCTCGTTTATGCGGACGATCCTCATGCTCGGACCAGCGCCCCTACTGGTTAAATTGTGCATTGAGATAGAAAGTTCAGTCTGCATGGTGACTGAGTGTGTTTTATGCCATATATTATATGTACATGTATGGATATCATAACTCATACCTTTGATAATTTGAAGCTGCTACATAAACTGAAGCAGTTTCAAAATAATAAATTAATAAGCTTTGCATGTATGTTTTCGAGAGAGGACTATCAGGACTTTCTGTTTGGATGACATGACAATCTTATTTTTATATAACAAATTTCCCATCTGTTCCAAGTCCAACGTCCAATATATCATTACTAGAGTTTAAATTTTTCAAAAATTCATTGCTCAGGACGGTCTATTCTTTTTAGATTACCTATAATAATATGCTATCTATAATATATATTTTGGATAGTACCCCAAGGGAGAAGGAACTTGGGAGAAAAACAGAAATTAATGATACTATTGTTCACAGTAAATTTGCTCCAGAAGAGTCGTTAGGTCAGCAATCAAAATGTCCTTTGCACTCTGAGATCAGACACATACACGCGGACCTGCCCTCAGGATATGTGATTATTTTCCAGATTTTTATGCTCAAATGTGACGAAAAACAAAATCAAAATCAAACAAACATTTGTAGAAAGTATTTTTTATTCAGTGTATCTCATTCACAATGCCAAAAATAAAGGAAATATCACTACTGGTGGCAAATACAACGTTAACATGGTAGCTGGATCTAAAAATTGCAATGGGTATCCAAAATTGTCCCTCATGTGTGACGTAGGTTGTTCATATTGTGACGTCACCTTTAATCATTTCACTTTGTGAATGGGTTATGGAAAGGCTATCAAAATTTCATTTAATGTATTCCTCACAATTGTGAGCGCTTAAAAAGTACTTTCCTCATTTTGATATTTCTTCAATTCTCATTGTTTACATGAAGTTTTGCTACATTACTGATGATGTGTGTGTTGTTTGAAGATAAAGCTGATTCTTGCAGTTTTAATGGAGGACATCGTTTTATCTGTGTGACATATGTACATGTACTGATGACTTTTGATGTCAATAAAGTTAAACTACAAGTATCCTAGGTAAATATCTACCCCTTTTCCCTTTTCCATTGGAAAATAAATTTGAATTCCATGAATCCACAGTGTATTTTGTAAATACAAATCCTTGCATGTAACAGCAGCAACTGAAAAGTGTTTTGTGTTGAATGACTGTACACATACTGTACATGTAGCTGTGTTTTTTTCTTCTCACTTCGTTTCTTGTGACCTTTGCTTTATGCTTAATATGTTTTATGTGTTTTCTTGTTCAAACAGAACATCCATTTTGGTGAACAAATTGACCCAGCCACTCGCTACTCAGAAGTCAACATTGAGCTGTAAAAGTGGATCATCAATGCTGAAGGCAGCAGGCATATATTCTATCTTCACTCTGACAAGAAGTGGAAAAGAAAAGATGGCTGCATAATTAGAGCTCAACTCAACGCAAGCCATACGTTAACCAGCAAAGTATTCCATACCATCCCATTATTTTTCAAAAAGTGCTAGCAGAAAGAGATATGGAAGAAAATATATAGGCTTTTCCTTGCTCTCTAGAAGATCGAGCAATAATAATCTTTATTTAGTCAAGTTTCTAAAGTTGATATTGCACAACAGCTTGCAGAAGATGAATTGACAGTGGTCTTAGACAAATCAGAATAGTCGTTGTTGGATAGAATCAAGAAATATCACCAAATTGTATAGATTAAATACAGGATGCTAAAGTTGTGAAGTCGCAAGCCGACAGATATGAAATGCTCATAAACGAAATAGATAGTTATCTTAAAAGTGTAGTAACCCTTCAGCGATTCGATGTGAGCTGACGCCAATCCCAACATCATTCTGCTTTCAGTCAACTGTATTTTTGCGAGAAAAATCCCTCGTCTTCCATTTTTTCTACAAACTGATCCTTGATCCGGACATTAAGATGGGGAGGTAACCAAAATAAAAGTTAGTTACATTGTGTAGCTGGACGTGTTTCCAGACTATTTCCTTCTCCAGTGTGAGCGAGAAAGAAATTGCTTGTGCCTGATAGACTGATCATTAGCTGAGAAGCCAAAGGTGATAACTGGTTTTTCCTGCGCTGTTCTGCTGATTCGTTCTCAGGCCAGGAGGTGAGTTATTTTCTTTTCTCGACTTTGAAATACAGATAACTTTTAAAAATTAAGTTTACAAACGTAATCAAATCAATGACAAACTTATGAATGTACATGGTAATTGTGGTTAATAGATGAAAAAAGGATAAAAAGAAAAGCACGGTTGGACACTAACAATGTTCTAAATTCTAACTTCTGAATTCTAACTCTTAACCGCCATTTTATAACCTTTTATCAGATAGCTCACTCATACAAACCTCTTAAATTTTAATCTGAAAACCCTGTTAAAAAGAGTCGGTGTAGAGCCCTGGTTAAAGATGTAGAAATACATGTAAGAACTGTATTGTAAGACAACTGTTTGAAATAATTCACTATATGTAGCTGAGTAACGACCTGAGAAAGATAAGGAAATTTAATTGTATCCAAGCACTAGGTTATGCTCACAACAAGTTGTCCGACACCTGCATATACATATATGTACATGTGAAAGTGGCTTTCAGCCAGTTTTGATCAATTTGTTTACATTTTTCTGGTCCAAACAACCGCTCCACTGAATGATAAACAATTCAGAATTGCTCTAAGCAGTTTCTATTGGATATTCAGTTACATGACTAGTATAGAAGTAGAGGACTTGAGGTTATCACTTTTCATTTGAGCTGTTCTCTGTGGTATTGAGCAGGATGTGCATTCATGTCGTGTATTACCTCAACTATTTTCATATCCATGCAACTACATTGTATACAAACATTGCATGGTTTCCTTTAATTATGAAATATGAGGATCCAGTCTGACAAAGGTACTGGAAACTTGGGTAGGCAAGAAAAGGGGGATAATCCCACACATCGTAACAAGCTTGTCAACAAAGTTCTATTCATACAACATTCAAATTCAAGGTTTATTCAACACTCTTCATAAAAACATTTAAAATATACAAATACAGTAAGGAATGATTAAATAGAGAACAAGATAATGATAAACATTACATTGGCCATTTATGAGAGCATTTAGGATAGGCAGAAATGAGGGATTCCTTAAATGAAAGCCTACCCCTAAACACACACACATTTTTTTTGTTCATGTAATGTACAATCAGAGTTTAAAAGCACTAACGAGAGTGAAACAAATTTACTTAAGAAAGGTGTGAAAGTTGCCCATACTACTCTACTGATTATTATACTTACATGTACATGTAGGATGTTTATTTCCAAGGATCTGAACAAATTCTGAATATCTAAAAGCCCACTTTTCCTCTGATGATTTTTTTTATTGCTTTTGAGTGGAACAATGAATAATTAAGAGTTTAAGACCCCAAAAAATGCAGATACCGGTAATGAAGTGACAAAAGTTTAGAACTTCTCATGTATGATCCACAAATTAATGAGTGCACGAAATGTTTATGAATTTTGCGATTGGTTTGAGAAAGTTTCATGCTGCTAAGTGAATAAATCACAATTGACACAGCACTGACTTTTTGCAGTTCGCGAAAGTTTCTTCCTGTGAATATGGCTGTTATTATCAATTTTAGAAATTTTCTGGTTTGCCAGGAAGAACACCTCTTGACAATTGCTCTTGCAGAGAAACTTCAACGCAAGTAATTGTATAATTGAATGGCCCTGAGTGCGAACGAAGAGGTACACCTGTGTATCCCACAAGCTGATGAGCATATTTCATGAGTCAGCACGACAGCTGAGGTATTCTCAAAGCGAGTGGGATATACCCTTGTATCTCTCAAAAGAAATTCCATTTAATATTACTATTATTGATTTTATGAAATCTAGTACCTCAATGTTGTATGTAACATTCTTGTGTTTTTGTATTACATTCAACATCAAACACAGAGAGCAAAACAATTTTGTCCTCACGTCCAGCATTTTGCAAAGGGTAGTGCAGGTGCATGTACTAAAGTACTTCCACTTTCTTAGCCTATGGGTATTTAAATGCATACCTATTCACATTTTTAATACTTTGTGCTCCGCAGAAAAGATGGCACAGTCATCTGGGTACTTTTTCACAACCTGTAAGATACTTTTTTTTAATCAATTTATGATGACCCAGGCACTTTATTTGCAAACCATGATGCAAACCATGATAAAAAAGGCCTACATATACACATAATTATACATGTGTATATGTAGGCCTTTTTTTTCTTCTCGGCTCAAAACCTTTTAACATGTTTATCTGTGTGATAGGACCAGTATGGTACGCCATAATTCTTGACTCTTAATACAACTAATAATTTTTTTGCACATGTTTATCCCTGTGCTAGGACCAGTATGGTATGCCAGTGGCTACCATGGCCAACCCTCCTGAGCATGACTTTGCTCCATCTTGGCTCAAGATCCCCAATGACAACCAGGTAAGAATCAAGGGGAATACCCTACTAAGAACCAAGGGGAAATACCCCAATAGAAAATATGAATGTTACCATTGTTAATGTTTGCGTTTTAAAAGCTAATTTCAAGCTACACACGTAAGAGGTTTCCATTGTCCAGATGTGGAATAACAATCCATGATGTTTCAAAATAATTGTATATTACAGTATATGCAAGTCCGTGATCTCACTTATATCTTGCCAATACTGTAAAGCTGTGATGCCCTGGTAAAATGAGATGGAAAGCACAGAGGAAAAATAATAATATGCTAGTTTTGTACAGAGTTTTAAACACTATTCAATTCAATTTAACTTAATTCAATTCAAATTTTATTACAACAACAATATTGATTTTTTTAGAAATGTCCATACACATTGGTATTATTGAGAAGAATATGATTTGACATAATTACGTACTTAAAAAGTCAAACTACAAAATAGAAGAACAGTTTTTAACTTGAAGTTGACAAACATATACTGGCTTCAAATTTGTCTGTCTTCATTAGATTTAATATACTTATTTGTGATGAAACTAAACACTTCCCCTTATGATCTCTCTCTCTCCACAGCTTATAGCGAAACCTCATTCAGACCACCACAGAGCAGGCTCTAAGTACCCCTCCCCACACCCTGATGGGGGTCGGCAGCGTAGCAGACACCCCTCTAACGAGTCCTTCCCAGGCTTCCCTCCTAACCACACCCAGCAACCCAACATCCATGGATACCGGAGCCGAGATGGTAAGCTTGCTTGACAGGAGTCATTAGTATTGACTTTTAACTGATATTTTGTTGTAAGCTGCGAAACAGGCATCATTTTCCAGTTTGTGTATCATTAATAAGAAAGGGCTGCTGGATTTGAAACTCGGTCACTGCTTTGTTTCAGGCTTTTTCAGGCTATATGTTTTTATGCCTCCGCCACCGAAGGTGGTGCCGGAGGCATCATGTTTTCGGGTTGTCCGTCCGTACGTCCGTACGTCCGTACGTCTGTACGTCCGTCCGTACGTCCGTCCGTACGTCCGTACGTCCGTCCCGTTTGACCGTTATCACAATATCTCAAGAACCATTTAAGATTTAAACTTAAGACTCGGGAATAGTATTTATCACCATAGGAAGACGATCTGATTAGATTTTGGAGTAGGTAGGTCAAAGGTCACAGGTCACAGAGGTCAACTAATGAAATTCCTTGTATTGAGTTTGTTAGCGCGATATCTCAAGAACCATTTGAGATTTAAACTTCAAACTTAAGGATAGTATGTATCACCATAGGAAGACGATCTGATTAGATTTTGGAGCACGTATGTCAAAGGTCAAGGGTCACAGAGGTCAACTTATGAAATTCCATACATTGAGATTGTTATCATGATATCTCAAGAACCACTGGAGATTTAAACTTCAAACTTAGTGATAGTGTGTATCACTATAGGAAAACAATCTGATTACGTTTTGGAGCACGTAGGTCAAAGGTCAAGGGTCATAGAGGTCAACTTATGAAATTCCATACATTGAGATTGTTATCATGATATCTCAAGAACCACTGGAGATGTAAAAACTTCAAACTTAAGGATAGTATGTATCACCATAGGAAGACGATCTGATTAGATTTTGGAGCACGTAGGTCAAAGGTCAAGGGTCACAGAGGTCAACTTATGAAATTCCATACATTGAGATTGTTATCATAATATCTCAAGAACCACTGGAGATTTAAACTTCAAACTTAATGATAGTGTGTATCACCATAGGAAGACAATCTGATTAGATTTTGGAGCACGTAGGTCAAAGGTCAAGGGTCACAGAGGTCAACTTATGACATTCCATACATTGAGATCGTTATCGCGATATCTCAAGAACCACTGGAGAATTTTCACTTCAAACTTAATGATAGTATGTATCACCATATCATAATATCTCAAGAACCACTGGAGATTTAAACTTCAAACTTAATGATAGTGTTTATCACCATAGGAAGACAATCTGATTAGATTTTGGAGCACGTAGGTCAAAGGTCAAGGGTCACAGAGGTCAACTTATGAAATTCCATACATTGAGATTGTTATCATGATATCTCAAGAACCACTGGAGATTTAAACTCCAAACTTGTTTAAATTGCTCTATGGCGGAGGCATCATTTTCGACTGCGCGCAGTCAAAATTCCATCTAGTTTTTTTATAGATTAGAGTGCTTGAACTTTGATATAAGATTCTCTTGTAGTGTAATTGATAAAAGTAACCTCCATGCTTGTTCAGGGTGTAACTGCTAAGGAAAATAATTGTAAAATGACATGTTGATTTGGAATGCACATTTGCAGTGGTTTTCTTTTGTAATGTGTAATTTCTTGGTGATGTAAGTGAATTTATGTTCAGATTCAATTTCTCTATGGTATCACCTAGATCTTGTTAAGGATTTTCATCTGTTGTCAAGATATTAAGAACAAAAAGTATATGTACAACTGGGATGTCAGACATGTGTTGTTGAATTAAGATCTTAAAGGAGCCATGTTCCTCATTTTTGCAGAGAAAAGATTCCGACCAGGACCCCGCTACCACTCACTAGAAGACCCCCTGCGTCACTCAGAGCTTCCCAGCGCTTATGCACCCCTCAACCAGAACAATGGCTTCCTTCCCCCACCCCCTTCCATGGGCTACTTTCCCTCTTCTCTGGACTATAGTTTCAACCCCAAGCGTGGCGGACCTCCGCCCCTCCACCACAACCTCAACCGGCTCGACCCTCACGGCTACCACCATGGAGGCAGGAGCTACGGTGGTGGTGATGGGGGGCGTGGTCGGTACGGAGGAGGAGGCAGTAGGCATGGGCGTGGCGGAGGCGTGAACGGCAAGGCTGGTCCTGAGAACGGGGAATCTAATGGTGTGGAGAATGGAGGGGGAGGAGGAGTTAGGAAAGGTGATGCAGCCAGTGCCAAAGGAGATGAAGGGAAAACAAATGGAGACAAAAGTGCCTTATCTAGTCATGACTTTGTGAGTGGTCTTTGCTATTCCTTCCTTGTGAAATGTACTGTACATCAGGGGTACCTATACACAGAGTTTGGCCAACTTGCTTTTACTGGGTCACAACGTGACGTATATTCTTTTGTTTTGTGCTTGCCCAACAAAGCAGAAGTTGCCATATTGTGTCCAACTGGAACCAGGTTGGCCAAACTGTGTATAGATGGCTCTGATGTACATGTATATAGAAGACATTTTGCATGAAATATCAATGCATTCATGAACTTGTGTGTTTGATGCCTGCTAGCCATGCAGGATTTTAGGTTTTACATGTATATGCAGGGCAGGTATTACATAATATAGTAATAATATGACAATGATTATGAAGAACAGCTGTACCCTTACCTTACACCAGTTCCTCTGGTTGCCAGAGTAGTTGTCCAATGAGTAATAAGGGAGATTATGTGACCTCAACGCAGATCATATGTTTGTTTGTGCCACCCGCGCAACATATGTGATGTTCAAAACGTGAGTAACTTGGACTTGGCAGAAAGTTGAGAGATCATGAAAACTGCTGCCAAGTGTCTGTTACAGGGTTTCCCCATGTAGTGTTGTGAATGTAGCTCTGTATGTTTACGTAATTCGTTTAGAAAGGTTGAAGTTCTGGGGAAGATTCTTACTGTACTGTTCCATCTGGGGATCCAGTGGCATTGTCATGAGGAGACTCTTCAAGTTTTTTTGTACCGTGTTTACTTGTTGATGATGACTTGATGATGATTTTTTGTTTAAAGTATAATTTTGAATAAGAGTAAGATGATGCAGAGTAGCCTGCCCTTGATTAACAATTTATTTGCTCATGTCATGTACTGCTGTTACATGTTTACGAGAGGGCACAACACTCTGCATTTCGTACTTCAATGTAGATACATTAGTCGGGTTGACATTACAAATGCTACATTTTTAAATGAAAATAGCTTTTTATGTATTAAATGTTATTAAAGTGCTATTATATTTTCAATTCAATTTCAATTTTTCAATTTCACTTTATTTATGGTTCTAACAAAACATTACAAATCAATTAAAACATTTACAACAAATGTAGAAATACATATTGGAAACAGAGGGGTCCACTAAAAAGCAATGCTTGTACAAGTGTGAACACCTCAAATGATACTTAGGAATGTTGAGTAACTAAATTAACAAGTCCATAACTACAAAATAGGGGAGAAAGGGGGGGGGAGGGAGGGGGGATACCAACAGAGACGAGAACAGGACAAGACAGTACTTTAAATGACAAAAATAGAAGAACACGGTCATAATACAAAGAGTAGACAAAGTGCTACACACAAATATTAAAAAAGAGTAGACAAAGTGCTAGTTAAATTTTTACCTGATTATTCATACTTTATTTTTAATTTGCAGCCCTCATTATCTGGCGAAGCTAACCGTGAAGTCAAAAAGGAATCCTCAAAACCTGCTGGAGCATGGGGTAAGAAAATGCCACATTGTTAAGAGTTTAATTTCTCCCCCCCCCCCTTATCTATTCCTTCACCCTAAGGGTCTCCTTTGTCATCGTCTTTCTCTTTCTCTCTCTTCCTCTCTCTCTTCCACCCCCCCCCCCTTGTTTCGTAAATATTTGTTTCTCTGCCACTAGGTCTACATTGCCAGTAAAAAAACTAAAATTAGTGAGATTTAATGGAATATCTTGCACTCTTTTTTTTCTTTCTTGAAAACCATTTGATGGAACATTCTTTGATAGTGGTTATTAATTGATATCATTATTCAAAGAACTGCCGTTGGTGTAACCATTTGTATGTTCCATTTCTGTTACAGATATTGTACTGAATGGAAAGGAAACAACTGGAAATATAATGTACATGCAGTGGACTTTGGAATAGAATTGTTGTGTCATTTGATGTAGCAAGGCTAATATGGATCTCTTGACTCTTGTCCCATAAATGGATTGGGGATCCTTGCCTCAGATTCTGAAACAAAATCCTAGATTTAGCTCATGCTGCAATGATAATTAAAAACAGTCAGGAACCCATGACTTTAACAAGCCGATCGCCTGTCTGATTATCAAGATATTTATGATTGGAAATTGAAATTTCAAAAATTATTGACCTAATGGTTTTTATAACATTGGGGGAAATGGGTATGGTGAAACCGGTTACTCAAAGATTTTTACTTTTTTGAGGAACTTCATGATCATTTTGAAGTGCAATTTGTTTAAAGCTTCAATATTACACCATACCACAGACTTTGATAACACGCAGGGTCTTGCATCTCAGATTTAACATTGTTAAACGATACCTTTAAGGAAATTTAAAACATGCTTTATAAAAATATGAAATGGAAGCCATCATCACACTCCCTCTCCATTGATCCCTCTTGCAGAGAAACGGCCGGGTACCTCCAACATCAGCATAGGCGGCAAGAAACTGCAACTTGTTCAGAAATCAATAACAGTCAGCGACTTACCAACTACCAATGGCTCCCAGCCCACAGCAGGCAAGATGTCGCCCTCTGGTGTCAACGGTGTAAGCAACCTGACGTCGGGTAGCAAGGTGGGCGGGATGCAGCAGGCGGTGCAGAACAAGGGAGCCAAGACAGGGCGTGGGGCAGTGCCCCTCTCCTCGGTCAGCTCCGGTGTCTACAAGTCGCTCGTCCCCAAGTCCTCTGCTCCTACAAAGGTATGATCAATCTTTGTTTATTGATAATTATATGTGGTTATATAGCGCCTAACACTTACTTAATCAGAAATCTCTAAGCGCCCTACGATAATGAGGCATAATTACCCTGGCTTTAGCAGAGCAACTATCTGGTCCTCTTCGTTTCAAGGAATAAATTCCTACCAGGTCCCCATTTTCTCACCTGGGTGGAGTGCAGCACACCGTGGATGAAATTAACATCCTGGAGCGGGATTCAAACTCAAGACCTTATGACTGAAAGACGAGAGTCGATACCATTACATCATGAAGCTTCCACATTCCACTTAGTGGAGAAAGGACAATGCTAGTAAGCATGTAAGGTGCTCATTAGTTTTAATATTTACATGTTGGATTAGTTCTAGTGCTTTGCTACTATGTTTTGCTACCCCAGATAAATGTCAGTAATTCTTAAACACACACAAGTTCACTATTATGTGTTTCTTTTGGATGAATTCCATTTTGTTGTTTAATTCTACATTTTGCTTGTCTAAACAACCCCATAATATATTAGGATTACCACTAGTTCATTATTATGAATTCACCATTGCTTATGCACATTGTTCAAAATGTTGTTTCATTACCAGAACTCAAGGTTAGTTTGAATGCCTTTGACTTTTCAACAAAAGAACTAAATCAGTCAATTTATGAGGTGTAAATGATAAATAATGAAAAAAGAAATTCTATCGTCATGAAATGCCTTTACAATTACAATTTTTGAGCAGGCCACCACACCAAGGAAAGCCATTGCGAAGGAAGTGGTTATCCGCCCAGCTCCTGTCATCAGTAATAAAGACAAGTCAGCACTTCCTCTCACATCATCATCCTCATCATCACCATCACCGTCATCATCAATGTCCTCCTCCACCTCCTCCTCTTCATCTACATCATCGTCGACGTCTCTGCCATCGCCGTCGGGAAACGCAGCTTCATCACAACCTTCCTCCAACCCTCCAGTGAAAGAGGTATTTTGTGAATTATATATCGTAGTTAAAGCCACACAGTAGTCAGTATCCATGTGCTGTTCATCATAAACTGCCGACATGAGATTTGGTTGAATTACTATTTAATGTGAAAGTGTGTGCAAAATAGACCAGTTCACGGTTAGCACATGTCCAAAATGACCTCGAATGATATCAGATCTTCAAAACATGAAGAGATCCCACTTTGTACATATTGAAATAATTACTCCTACAGCGATGGAGGTGCTACATAAATAGCCTTTGTTTCCCCTTTTCAAAGAATACATCCACCTGTGTATCATGGAGTGCACTTCTTGTGCATAAATGAATAATGATTAAATAACTTTCATGAGCATGTATCCAGTATTTTGCCTGCATGTATTATCTGCTCATGCCCAGACTGCAACTATGAACTGGCTTATTCTCTGAACCAGCGAAACCTGTGGTCCCACCAGAAAATACTCCAACTCGCCTATACCTCAAGTGCGAGGGAAATATGATATGTATGATGAGAATTCCATAAGGTGGTAGGCTAGGGCACAGTGCATTATACAAGACCCGTTTGTTGGAGAAGTGAAATCCACTATTGATAAATGACAACACCTGTTACTTTGTAAACAACAGAATGGTGTCATATTCCTAATGAAAACCCACTTCTGTGCATCTTTAAAATAGCTTAATGAAATGTAGGTTCACATAAGGATATTTTTTTTAATTAACATTGTAATCTATATGTACAGAGCTTTAATACTTATTTTTACTTTGAAATAAATCACAATTATTTAAACTTGGTTCTGTTGAACTTTGTTGAAATTATATGGTTCATTGATGCTTTTATATTAAAGGTAAAGACCAGTTCTGGTCATGCGATTGCATTGTGAAAGAAACGTTGTGGAATCGATCAGAAAAGGTTGATCATCTAGCATATAGGTATTGGTGTGTACTGCAAGGTTCTGGAATCATCAAAATGATAAGAAATTTGGCCCAGTCTTGGTAAAGTTACAAGCACTGTATACAGAAAGATGTATATGGGACTAGGCTATTGTTATTATTATTATGTTTGTATTTTGCGCTTACAGCAGGGCTCTCCGCGCTCCACCTCTGCCATAGACATTCCCACCCCTCGCATGGTGACTGTGTCAAAGGTCAAGCGGACGGACAAGGTTGACTTCCTGAAGGAGCTGCGTCGCACCGGGAGCGTGGACTCTCCAAGGTTACCGCTCAGTAGCGAGCCTCTGGTCAATGGCATTGACCACTACACAAACAACCACAATGACCAATCTGGTCACTATCACAACTACAATAGGTCTTCCACCAAGCAGTACGAAAAGACAAATGCTACCACGATTTACCAGGTATGTTGTTACATTTCCTGCTCAGTGCTCATAATCAATATGCATTACTAAGTCCCTCGGAGAGGACGTAAAGTCGTTGGTCTTCTGGTTGCTTATTTGCAAGCCCAACCCATGCATGCTTCCTAAGCAGTCTGATAAAAAAAGCCAACAAAAATGTCTTTATCTTCTTCTAAATACACTTGTGTCGAGATATAACTCACTTAATACTTATACTAACCAAGGGCTTTGGTTAATTCATGGAAAAGCTTGAAATATGAAACCAGTATTACATGTATAGTAAAACAGGCTTTAGCAATTACCTGTGTAGAAAGACCACTTTTTTTTGTTTCCCTTAATCAGTCTTTACTTGCAGGTTTCACTGCATTATAATTATTATTTAAGGTAATACAAAGTTTTGGTATGGGGTCATGAATTTGGTTCAAATGAACATATTGGAAGCATGTGCGATCGTACAATATTCAGCGATCGTTGTCGCGGTTGAAATCGAGTCTAAAGTGATGAATTTATAAATAATAAACTGTTTATGTTGTATAGCTCCCTCTCAAGGTCAATATATCAATTTAGCTATAAAGCAATGTTTCTTGACTAAAATTGACTGATTGGCTATTCCTATTTGGAAATTATATATCACAACTACATATTCTGAGATTTTCATGGTTGCAGCTATCATTGTATGGCCGTAGGCGCTATTTGAAATTTATCAAAATTTACTGGGAGCACCAGTAAATTTGTATTCAATTTTTCTCGAAAGCAGAAGTGTTTTAGGGGCTAAATTTTCTAGTGCTTAGAATTCATCCACAGGGGCATCCAAATATATCGAAACAATATAAAGAATCACTCTCCAGCCAATTTTCACAATTTCCCAAAACTTAGTATTACCTTTAATGTTATTATTTGATTTCTGCAGCAACCAGACCCCTTTGAAGATTTAGACATAGTCGAGCCTAGACAAGATACTATAATCAACAACCAACTACCCATCAGCAAGTGCAATGGCCATTACGACAATGAAGGCCAGAATGACAAGGACGTCGATGACAACCTTGACTTGGTCACCAACAATGGCCGTATGGACATGCCCCTCAACGAGCAGAACCTCCTGGACTGTCAACCGATGGAGCTTTCCAGTAGTTTAGAAGCAGAGAAAAGGTAATAATAATATTAATAATATCGTTGGCCGGGTAGCAGAAGGGCGTTATTGCGCGAGTGATTTGAAAACTGCTTTTCGAATTATTCGCATTTAAACTGCTTTCCGTCCCGAAAATTGGTTGAAAACATAAAAGACTAATAGAAATGTTGTAGTAGAACACGGCCACAATTATTTTCTTGGAAATAAGTCAGTTTTATAAAAGTTAGAGGCGATTTAGTGCTAACGCCCTTCTGCCTAAATTTTCATTATTGACCTGAAATTCGAACTAACGCCCTTCTGCCAACCAGGCGACGAAATGTGTTGTTTATCCAGGGTAGCCTCATCAGTATTCATACTGTTCTCCCTGAGGGCCCTGCAATCATACCAATACCCCAGCTTTAGCTGAGTTACCATAAAAAGGTGCTCAAGCATTCAAGGAATTTCTTCCTACCGGGTACCCGTTTACCTCACCTAGGTGGAGTATAGCAAATGTAGATTAATGTCTTGCCAAATGACATAAGTGCCGCGGCGGGACTGGAACCAGGAACCATGCTATCCACAGGCACCTGAATGAATGTCTTCCTACAAACTGGTTTAGTGTTGTGAAAATGGCTTGAAAATATTTGCTTGTCATTTGTGGTAAAACATGAAATTCAAGTATTACATATCTCATTTAAAGGGATTGGGTATCTTTGCCTCAGATTCTTCCTGGATGATCGCCTGTCTGAGATTATCAAGATATTTATGATTGGAAATCAAAATGTCAAAAAACGTTTTCCTAACGGTTTTTTATAACACAAAAGTCTATTGGGGAAAATGAGTATGGTGAAACCGGCCACGCAATGATCATTTTGAAGCACATTTGTTCAGGGCTTGAATATTACACCATATCAAAGACTTTGATAACACGTAGGGCCATGCATCTCAGATTTAACATTGTTAAACGATGCCTTTAACAAGGTGTAAAAGGCATTTGTAGTACAATTCATACGTTACAAATAGAGTTAGAATGTGACATGCGCATTTGGGCCTTTCTTTGTAAAGTGAAACAAATATCACTTTCATCAACAAAATCTACGCCTGTTGAAGATAAGATTATCAACATGAAAAAAGTGAGATGACTTCTGTGTGAGAGAAATATTTCAAAAATGAATGGCCCACATGAGGGAAAACAGTTTAAAGATACAGTTAAGTTCTGGTCATGCGATTGCATTGTGAAAGAACGTTGTGGAATTGATCAGAAAAGGTTGATTATCTAGTATATAAGTATTGGTGTGTACTGCAAGGTTCTGGAATCATCAAAATGATAAGAAATTTGGCCCAGTCTTGGTAAAGTTACAAGCACTGTACACAGAAAGATGTATATGGGACTGTATAGATGTATATCCAGGCCGGATAGATATGATAAATTACCAAATATATCAATTAGTATCAATTATCAATTTGTATCATCACGTATTAGTCAAAACATATTTTTTCACATGATTGGTAATAAGAGCTTCCATTTCATTTTTTGAGAGGGGGGGGGGGGTGGGTTTCCAAAAGTGGTCTTTACCTTTATACAGTTTTCTGATGGTCATTCCTCTGAAATACATTGATTTCTTTTCTCACATCAGGTTACTGCAAGAGATGGGTTGGCATGAGCACAGTGACAATGAAGAAGGATACGCACCGATCACTGAAGACGAACTCAAGGAGTTCAAGATCAGGTCACAACAGGTGAGTGAAGAGGTTTATTTGACTCATTTAAAGCCTGTCTGCACTAGTTTGGCCAGGAGGGATTAGACCTGCCTGCATGGTCACTGACACGTGGTTATCTCATCAAATCAGCTCTTAATTAACATAAGAAAAAGGGGACTATGGGGGACCAACGGATACTATTTAAGCATTGTTTTGTATATAGAGGGCGCAAGTAGCTACAAGTAGTGCAGTCCTGCTTTAAGCAAGTTGATAGGCAAACAAAAAGTAGAGGAGATAGAAGGTGTAGTGCCAAATTTCAGTGTCTTTTTCCTTGAAGGCTCTTTTAAAATTATTTATTGCTATGGTTTTGGTGACTGGATTTGCCATTCTCCTACTTTTTTGTGATTCCTTTCGTAAATTCTTTATAGTCTGCGTTCAAAGAATGAACATAATCACATGGTACAGTGTACCTCCTCACCACAGTGACATTTGCCACTCTCCACCCAGGTGTTAAATGGGTACCGGTAGGACGGAATTCCTTGAATGCTGTGAGCGCCGAAATCGGCTGCCTAGCAGAGCCGGGGTAATAGTTGAAGCGCCTTGCATGGTGGATATGTGCGCTATATAAATATAAAATATTATTATTATTATTATTATTATTATGTGCATTTAATCATGTTTGACTTTTCTATCGCACCTGTACATCAACCATTCCTCCTTTCCCTTTACTCCTCTCATACAGATGGGTAAGAATGGTTTCAGTCGTCCCGCTCAGCCCATCATCCTCAACCTCATCCCTCATCCTGTCATGAACGCCATGACGACCATGGCGATCGAAGACGCAGAGCTCAGCTCCTCCTCCGATGAGTCCTCGGATGATGATGACTTATAGTAGCGGCTGGCCTCTCCTTCAGTATGAACCGATCGGTGGTCTTTCTTACGTAATGGAACAGAACATTTTGCTCTTCATCGTCGACGAATCAGTGCTTCTCTCTGATGCAAATCCTTGCAATACATCCACGATAAATAACTCTGTGCCTCATGAATGCAACAGTATTTTGTGTTCATACAGTTTGTTCGGTGTGTTTGTTTCATCTTCTGGAAATCAATGTTTGGAATATTGATAGGACAGGAGCTGTGCACCTTTTTCATTACTAACAAGGAGGTCAGAAAGTGACAGTGGTTCAAAAACAATTGAGTACTGAAAGATCATATCTCAATTGGTCTTGTTCGTTTTTTATGAGTGAATTCCACTTCATGATAACCACTTTCAGCAGCAGTGGAAAATATGTTTACAAGTTGATAAATGAAAAGAATGTTTTGCACACATGCTCACCTTAATAAATGCCCACGAAATGCTACCAATTTATTTCCCATGAAGGGGTTCTTTCAGTTACAAGTTGGGCAATATAATTGTAAAACGGACCAGGTATGTTTGATGGTATTTTGTTAAGGAAAAGAATAATAGTGACAATAATTTGCCTTTTTGTAAACATTGGCTCTAAATACAAGCTTTACAGAGTTGTTTATTTTCATTAGTGTCAGGTGACTTATGAACATGTCATGTGACTTGGATGGTAACTTATCCTTTCTTGGGCATACAGACTGATACTCTCACCTGCTATCAAATATTATCTTTTTGTTTACCATTCAAAATATCAAGATGTAGCTTGTTATTTAACACAGTCTGCCAAAGGTCACGGCCCCAGTACACCGTTCACTTTGCTTACAAATGAAGAAAAGCACAACGATAGTAAAAAGTAAACAAATATAAAAAAGGCTTCACTTAATTTGTATCTCTCACACACAGATGCTTTTATTGTGAGATAAACACAATCTGCTAAAGTGTACTTTCTGCAGATAACAATATGGAAACAGATTGTATTTTCTAGTTTTGTAACATATTCTTCCCCAAGTGCTTACTTTTAATGTTTGACAAACATTGTCATCATTTAACTATGTTTATATGAAGAAAAGGAAAAAGAAAAGATGAAGGGAGCAGAGAAAAGACAAAGGGAGTGAAAGGAATCATGTTGTATCTTCCAAGAAAAAAATCTATATATATATCATACTTGTACTTCCAATCATACGGTGTGTCTTTTTTGTACTGAAACAAAAGTTTTTATTGCAATTTTTAAAATGAACCATTTTTCTACATCAATCTGATTTCTTACTGATCTCTTCGTTCAATTTCTGCGTGTTTTCATTCATGGATCATACGTCTGATTTTTCACTGATCTGTTTGTTGAATCTCTCATTGTTTGCATACATTAGTCATTTTATTCAGTGTTTTTCATATTATGCCAACAAGTTTTCCAGATCAAATAGCATTTTGTCTGCAATAATACTGTAAAACTGGAAACGTTTGCGAGCTCGAGATGTTCACGAATTTCAACCACAACTAACACAATGCTAATTTTGTTGGCGATTCACAATAGTTTCTGCTGTAGAAATCTCTCATCGTTTACAATTTGTGACAGTTTCCGGTGTTAAAGTAATATAGGGTATTTTATCTGTTTGTTAGTGCTTGTAAAAATGCACTTTGAAGTAGAACGCTTATAGCTTGTTTTGCTTACTGATATCAAGCTTTGTTTACAATTTTGAGCAAAAAGTTCACCCCCCACCCCCACCCCCAGAAAAAGTACAATTCTCTGTGAGGGCTATTTCAGTAGATTGAGTATCTTCTCCCAAAACTGTCGGATGAGTCGCCGCTTACATCCTGTTGAAACGCATGTTATGAAATTAATAAGTGTTTGCACTTTCAACAAGATGGCGGTGAAGTTGAGACGGCCGTCTGGGGTCAGATTGCTGAGAGCTCCTGCATTTTCAGTTGAAGACTGGTATCTTCTAATTAGGAGGGGATATTACTAATAAAAGCATTTTATGAATGAGATAAGTGTTTATTATCTTTTTATTTAATTCAAGAAAAGGGCAGTTTATGGTTTAAAACAAAATCCGACCCATGCTAGAAATATATTAGTTTAGATTAGATCACTTTATTGCTATCCCAAATTCAGAGTCAAAACAAATTAACTGATTTAACAGGATCAAGTCGCACCTTTAATTATGCCCTGATCTCTTTATAAATTGGAATCGATTGATATTGCATATTGCCTGTGTGATAAAACTAATGCACCTTGATAATAAATTGAACACAGGCAATTTACAGTTTCACATCAAGAGCAATTTGTTTTCTTTTCATGTAAAATATTTGTGTGTGGAAATACCTTGTTGCCAGCTTACACAAAACGATTGAAGTGTCTTTCCAAAGAGTTTACGCTTCTTACAGGAGACACAAGATGGACGAGAATAAAGGAAAATGTGTAAATCCATGAGACAAATAGGAAGAGCAGAATAGGTTACACCGAATTATGATGATTTTAGAGGAGAACTGACCGCCTAGATTGTTATCTGAAGCAACGTTGAGAGGACTATCTATGTTGGTATAAATTTATTTTTTTGTTGATGGATTTTATTCTTATTGTGTCTTACCAGTGATTCTATCCAGATGTGCTTTATTGTAAAGTAATAATTGTCTTTGGTTTTGTCGGATGAGGAAGTACTGATCTTGCAGATCCAATTAACATTGAGGTACTCATGGATGGACATTAAACCGGGAGGAATTTATGGAGCCTTATAAACTAAATGAAATGGTCAAGCTGACCTACGACATATGATTTATTTTCCAGAAACATGTGTATATTTTTTCTTTTCAAATGCTATTGTGTAGAGTTTATCCGGGAAAATGTGAGATTTTGGGGGTGTTTTTTCCTTTTTCTGCTGGACTTACTTGCTTCATTTTTTATTGTCAAAAAACTATTTTCATTGTCACCTCATTTTGTTATGATAGATCTGTTGTTGTTGATACAATTATAGAGTGATTCCAGTAGACACTGAGGTTGTGTGTTGGACACAGAAAGGACTAACTGTTCAAAGATTCAAAAGCCCTTCTTGTACTCATGCTAACGACTTCTAACAACGTTTATTTACGCTCATCATTAAGCAAGTCTTCTTGTAACCAGCAATACCTTTTTTTTGTCAGCAAGTCTTGGACAAAGCTCTCTCCTTATTTGCATCAAATCATCACTTTCAGTTTAGTGTTGTATTTGACATTTTGTTTACTTTATACGATAACAACAACAACAACAGAAGATTAGCAATCGAAGATCTAAGACCATTGACCACATTCAGAGTTATACTTACATTCAAATGGTTGGTGTTTTGATCTAGAAGTATTGCCAAGTTATGATGTATTTAACGAAAAAGACCTTTGAGAGGAAAATAATGAATGCTTTCACCATTTAAACTTTGTTCAGTTCAAAGCTATTTGTTTTGTTCCTTTTTCTGTTTAAGGCATTGTTTTCATTTGCTATCTTTTTTGTGTGTCTTCTTGTTCTATTTTTATTGTAACAAAATATTGAGTTTATTTTAGGCAACAATCCAGTTTGCCTCGTTTGTATACAAACATTACAGGAGTGTTTATTTGATGTTAAGTTGCGATAAACAACATGTTTTCTCAACTTAACAAATTCTCCAAGAGTTCTCTACATGATCTTGCTGGGAATTGTATGGAGGTTGAACAACTGTATTTTTGATGATGCAAGTAAAAGAAAGACATCAATTGTTATGTTCTTCAAATGAATGAAAATTCTTGACATGGTAGGAATGCCTGTGTAGTTTCAAATATTATTTGTGTAAACTATGTGTGAGGATTTTAAAGAAAGATCATTTATGTTCTGTGTCCAAGATAAAAACCAGGGCACAGACTTCAGTCAAACTTTTATCTCTGAACAAAATAAATGAGGCATAAGAAATGTTGCTGTTTTATACAGATGAAAGAGTCTAAGAGAAAAATATGAGTGGAAAATACACAAAGATGAATATTATTGAGAGAATAACTTGATGACACATTATGCATCTGCACAATGTAATGATTCTCTGCTGTTTATGATGAAAAGTGTCTCAATAAATGAAAAGAAAGTTTGTTAAATCTTGAGATTCATCTTTTATTGTACGATACATATGTATGTCTTGTTGTAGAAAATACATGCTCACAAATTCATAATTAAGGGCGCGTTCATGCTTGATTTTGACGGCCAGAATCAGGCATCTGTTACGCGTTTAGTTTAAAACACGATTGCGTTCATGCTCACTTTTGTAGAATCACCGAAAAACGGCGATCACGATCGCCGATCGTAAACTCACAAAAAGATGCGTTTACAATTTGTAAACCCGTTTAAATGGGGTCAACGCACTGACCTCTAGTGGGTCTACGTAGCATGCGCACACAGGTTTGCGAATCCAGCTGAAGGCCACCCAAGGAGAATTGCCTGGAGAAGTGAGCATGAACAGTGCACCGTGGAACTGCGATTACGATGAGCGTTTACGATGAGCGTTACAAATCGCTCTTTCTGCCTTCAAAATCAAGCATGAACGCGCCCTAAATAAAATCAGATTAGAACTGGTACATTAGAATGTTGGGGTGAACCTTTAAACTAAAATTATTTAAAGTGAACATGTTTCATTTCTGAAACTAACTAATTTTCAGTGAAATTCCAGGAAATTTTCCCTTTGTTGCAATGCAAAGTTAATTAACAATTCAAAAACTTTCACAATCACATCAAATTATAAATTAATATCTTTTTAGAAATTAAATTTTTGATCAAGGTAATTAACCAACCGAAAACAATCAATAAAAATGCAAAAAAATAAAAAATAAAAATAGATGAGATAATTAGTTAATTGATTAACGAAATATTTTTTTTTTAAAGCTCCACACAATTGCTTAATTACAACTGTACTGTATTGATTGTCCTAGTGATTGATTCCTTAATTACCAATTTCAACAAACAATATATATTGTTGCATTCTAATTAAATGACTTAACATAATGTTTTAACCTTTCTTTACTAGTGCAATTGACTTCAAAAGGTCTTTAATTTAAAGAATTGATTTGGTTCTAGTTGTAGATTATGCTGATTATTATAATTTGTTTCCCATTGAAGACTCATTTGGGAGGCAATGTTGTTATTGCCCATGGTAAAACTCAAATATGTAGTTCAAATCATCCACAGTTGGGTTAAGTACAAGGATTGGTCACAGTTAGGATTTTGGGGAGTAGGAAGAGAGAGAGAGGGGGAGGGAGAGAGAGAATTCCAGTTCAGTGAGACCTACACACAAATTAACAGAGAAATGGCGCACGGAGCATTATTTAGTTGTCTTCTTTCTTTTAGTATGCCTCTAAATAAAGTTGTCTTTTCGTAAATTATCATACATGTCTATTTTACCATGCATTTTGCCATGTCAAGTCCGGGGCTAAATTCACTCAAAGAACGCGAACGGAGTTTCGATGCGTTACTTTGATCGACGCGTCGGCGTCGGAGCTCCCTGGAATTACATTCATCCTTGAGCATTGATGTTCCTTTGACGACCGATCTCATTGTCGTTTCGTGTATTGTGTAGCAGATAGCGTTACAGGGGCTCAGGGGTGAATCATTTACCAAGAATCTCTATGCAATACATTACGTAATTGGTCGCCAACTCCTAAATGTCAATCAATACCGCCTAGGAGATTGAAAATATAGTGCAAATACGTATACGTAAATAAGTAGCTTATTAAACGCCGATTCTTTCTAGTGAAGAAGTTATAGACTTATGACGTTTTCGAGAAACAGCCCCCCCCCCCCCCCCGGGGGGGGGGGGTATACTCACATATTAGGACATACAGGGGTGTGCCGCTCTAATGGGTCCCTTTTTCACACACAAAAATCCCTAAATATGGGTCCGTTTTTTCAAAATGTTCAATATAGGCTAAAAGTTCTGAGAATAGGGCTTTTTTCGAGAAAAATGTCCCCAAATTACCCCTATTAATGGGTAGATGTTTCGAGGCTTGAGCGGCACATCCTCTTCCAAACCCAATCTGAGTATCAGGGGGGGGGGGGGGGGACAGGCAACAGTTGGCACATTATGGATTATGGTACAATGACCATTCCAGTCAATTTTTTTTGCTGATTAAAAACAACTATACACTCGAACAAACAAACCGTGTTAAATGTGAATATTGGAGAAAATGATGGAAATTTACAGTAAAGTAGCTCCACTTGAAGTTTGTAAACTATGCATTCTGAGAGCTCTACGGAATTCAAGAAAATTATATAGGCCTATATTTTAAATTATGCTCTCATAATGAGCATGCCTGGCCATCCGTTGCCAAAGGCTGTTGTTTATTTATTTATTTATTTATTTAAAATGGTTTATTTCATTAAAAAACATTCGCGGCCTGAGAGCCGAATTGCAGTTTCTTTTACAAGGTATACATCAGTGACAAAGTAAAATTACACGTAAAACATTATGCATGGTAGCATTATGGTAGTAAAATTGGAATTCTTTTGTACATATGATATATAGTTGTGCTTCAAAGATCTTGGCAAATTGCTTGGTACATATACAGAAATTCGAATTGTATTACCATATTTGCAATAAAATTATATAATAAACTTATACAATATAATTATGAATAGCAATACATTTTTGATATTCAAAAGAATTAAATGTTTTGGTTGGAAAATGCATAGCCAGATGGGTAAGGTATGGTTATGGTGTTTTCTTCAATAACAGAAACAGAGACGACAACAGAAACCAAATTCAGGAATTATAAAGTCAAATAAATGCTCCAATGATTTAAACAGATTATACAAATTATACATTGTAGGTAAAATGCAGAACATTTTGTATTTGGGCCAATATTTAGTAAAAGGTACATGTAGAATATTGCATAAAAATAAGATAAGTTTCGCATAAAAACATGGGTAAAAGGTTGCCATTGTAATATTCGATACATGTGTATCATCTTGGGAATCGTTAAAAAGTCATACAGGATTTTGTACAATTAAATCTGATTTAGTTTTAAAAAAAAAAAAAATTCTATAACATTATTCAAAAATGCATTCACATGTCATCCTTTTATTTAGGAAGTTATATCAGAGAAATAGAGAGAGAGATAGAGAAAGAGAGAAAGAACGGGAGAGTGAGAAAAGGGAGAGAGAGAGAGAGAGAGGTCACAGTTAGGATTTTGGGGAGTAGGAAGAGAGAGAGAGAGGGTGAGGGTGGGAGAGAGATAGGGAGAGAAAGATAGATAGAATGAGAGAGAGGAGAGAGAGAGAGAGAGAGAGAGAGAGAGAGGAGAAAGAGAGGGAGGGGAGACACAGAGTGAGAGCAGGGATATTTGAGTTCTGACTAGATTATGGCAACGGACTGTTTCTATAATACCGTGTCGTTTTACATGACATTTCAGTGAGCTTGCTTTTATTTCTCAGATTTCGAGAATGGGAGTCCCCACGTGTTTGGGGCAGCCAATGACTAAACTTTGACCCAGGCTCAGTGGCGTACCTGGGGTACTCCGTCAGGGGGGGGGGGGGGGGGGGGCAAGCGACCGAAACAAACAAAAATGGCGATGCTAATTTTCACTTCTGGCGAGCGAGCGAGCAAAAAAAAATCTTTAAGTAACGTTTGGTATATCAACTGGTATTGTTGCAAGTTGGGGTGGGAACATTCACTTGTTAGCGACGTTAATTTCATTTTTTTGCAAACGAGTGTAGCGAACAAGAAAAAAAAATCACTTCTTTTTTAATAATTGCCACTTAAACTTGGTTCAATTGTCCCATGCAGGGCGCGGGAACAATATTGTGTTTAGGGTGATTTTATACCCATTTTAGCTAGCGAGCGAAATACATCTTTCTCTCAATGAATTGCTATATAAAATTCGTTTCATTATTGCAGGTAGGGGGCGGGCACAATCGTGTTTAAAGCAATGTCAATCCCATTTTGGCGGGCAGGCAACCCCCTACATTTCTCTTTTTAATGATTTTGTAGCAGGTTAGTGGTGGGCACATAATTCCACGAGCTAGCTAGCGAAAAAAAAAAAAAATCACTTCTCTTTTATAGGGAAAATATGGTACATAAAACTTGGGTTCATTGTTCCATGTCAGGGACGTGATTATTAAAAGCGGTGTTATTTCTATTTTGGCGAGCGAGCGTAGCGAGCGAGCAAAGAAATCACTTCTCTTTTATAGGAAAAATATGGTATATAAACTTGGGTTCATTGTTCCATGTCAGGGACGTGATTATTAAAAGCGGTGTTATTTCTATTTTGGCGAGCGAGCAAAGTTTTTGTAATGATAATTGGTTCATAAATTTCAGATTTTTTTGTTGCAGGGCAGGGCTTACACAATCATGTCTAAGGTGATGTTAATTCCGTTTTGGCGAGCACGAGCACACCAAAACTTCTTTGAATAACGTTTGGTACATAATTATTAACTGGTTGTTGCAGGTTGGGGCGGGCACGTTAGCGGTGTCAATTCCATTTTGGCGAGCGAGCATAGCGAGCAAGCAAAAAAAATAAATTCTCTTTTAATAGAAATTAATAAATAAACTTGTTTTTATTGGTGCAGGTCAGGATGGACGCAGTCGCGTTTAACGCGATTCAATTCCTTTTTGGCGAGAGGGCGAAAAAACTCTTCCATTTTTAATGATATTGTTGCAGGTCAAGGGTGTGCACAATTATTGTTTCCAAAGCAATGTCTATTCATTTTATTCGCGAGCGAGAAAAATGAATTAGTCTCTTTTAGTAACATTTGGTACATATATTGTGTGTTATTGTTGCCATGGTTGCAGGTCGGGGCCCGTCGGGGCAGGCACAATTGTATTCTAGGCAATACTAATCCTTTTCTTTTTTCAGGGGGACGAGCAAGTGAAAACATTTAATACAAAATAGGCTAGCAAGCAGTTCGCGCCAGCGAAGAGTTTCGAATTTGTTATATCACTTATATTTTCCTATTTTTATTTGTTTTAATTTTTCAGGGCCGTATACGGAATATTTTTCTGGTGGGGGAGGGGGAAAGATGCGTTAAAAGTTTTCGAAGAATCTCAAAAGCAAAAGGAGTGAAGGGAGTTCGAGCGACCGAACTGGTCATGAGGGTACTTTTGCATTTTCAAAAGTAGAAATGAAGGATTTGGTAGGCCTACACTACATTTTCAGGAAAAAAACTGTACGTTTCCAAATATCTGGGGTCAACTGCCTCCCCCCCTCCCCCCCTGACGGTACGTACGACCGTGGTCTTTTTTTTTTTAATTCCCCCATTTTTATTCCTTTCCTTTTCTTTTCCCTTTTTCTTCCTTTTCTCTTCTTCTTCCTTTTTTCTTTCCTTTTTTTTCCTTTTTTCTCTTCCTTTTCTCTTCTTCTTCCTTTTTTCTTTCCTTTTTTTTCCTTTTTTCTCTTCCTTCCCTTTTTTCTTCCCTTTTCCTTTCTTCTTTTTCTTTCCTTTCCTTTCTTTCCTTTTCTTTCCCCTTTTTCTTTTTCCCCCCTGGAGCCCGTCAGGGGGGCACACTGCCCTCCCTGCCCCCCCCCCCCCAAAGGTACGCCAGTGCCCAGGCTCGAGCAGCTTCTTTGCAAATTTGAGGCACAGACATTCTCTGCGGTCACTCAAAGAGGACACTTTATAGTTGAAGAGCGTTTTGATACTCATGGATTAGATGTAAGGTTTCATAATATCGCGATTTTCCTTTATTTGTGTGTGTGCAAAAACAACCGTTACCGTAAAATGATCTTTTAAAATACAAAGATCGCAAATGTAGCTATTTTGTGGAAAAAAGCAACCTGAGGCAATTTCAAAAGCCTTTTGCGTCAACTATTGAAATGCGCGAACATGACAATGACCTAATCCGAACCAGTGGCGGATCTACGGAGGGGGGGGGGGGGGGGGGGGGGGGGGTTACCCCCTCCCCCATTGGGCTGCCAAGTAGTGAAAATGAGATGTGCATAGAAAAACGACATCAAGTTAGAGTGAGAGCACAACCAAAGAACGCACACTGGAGAATATTGTGAGAAGATATTCAACTCATAACAGTAACCAAACACATGATAACTCTCCATGGATATAACTGTGTATTAAACTGTTATTTTTATTTAAAAAGACGTTATCGTGCACTGCATTTGATGGTCTCCATTGTGTTAGTAGATGCCAGGAAAACGGGGGTTCAAAATAGCACCCCCCCCCCCCCCAAAAAAAAAAAAAAAAAAAATCGCCTCGCCGCTACGCGGCACGCGTCATTGGGTCACCCCCTATAAGCTAGATCCGCCCCTGCGAACATTATACATGGGATAGCCTATAAATAAGATATAGAAATTGCCCTTGAGTTTATTTTTCGAAAATACAGTTTCTGTTGCAATAGTGTTTGGCTCTCTATGCTCGCTTCGTTTAGAAGTTTGAAAACGGATCTTCGGCCAAGAGATATCATTGAATTACTAGTAACTGAAATTAGAGTCACTATATCGGACTTGACTTAACAGTTAGAAGTCAGATCGTGGCGGCCGCAGTGAAGAACATACTGACGGTGCTGTTTAGCTTTGCGGCATCCCGATCAACAAAAATCGACCCATTTGAAGAGGCTAGGGGAAAATGCATCGTCCCTGAATATAACCTTGTCTTGTGAAGTTGTGTGAAGCTCAAGTCTATGCAGCATAGCTCAACTAGCTGCAATGCGTGATAACCCGTATACCCCAAATCAGGTGCCATTAAAAAAAGGCTATTTATAAGTAAAAAGTAATAAATAAATTAATAAATAATGAATTAATGAAAAAATAAATAAGTAAATAAATATCAATATAATTGGGTGAATGGATAGATTAATGTGTCATTTTTTAAAACTTTTTAAATGAATGACTGAATGAAATACAATAACTACTCCCGGGTAACTACTATAGGCCTAATAGGGCTAACAAAACTTTATTTTTCAATACTACTCATTGTGATGACGTGCAATAAGAAGTAATGACTAAAGGCGAATTAAACGATGCTGCAAGACAATTTATTAAAATAACTTGAGCGATGATGAGATAATAGTTTTTCCAAAAAAAATCTAGATCTATAAAGCTACCGGTACATAAAAGTCACTTTTGGTGCAAGCGCGATAGGGTTCCTCGAGAGCTAGCCCCACCCATCCAGTTATTTTTTTTCAATGCGCTAGGCGGTTATTATGATAACGGTCACTCCTTCTCTTCGTGACACTGAAATAACGGCCATCGCATTCTATAATTTATCTGAACGGCTGGCTCTGCCTAGCCTATTCTACTACGATATCCGCGGAGAATACCTATCTAATCTATGTGTGTGATCGTGGATCTTCGTTCTTCATTCATTTAGGATCTCAAGTAGAATCAGAAACTGCATGTAAGCATTCCGGCGCTGCCACCTAATTTCGGCACATTTCCCCATAAAATGTGGGGATTATCGTCATGTTGTTAAGCGGTGATTGTTCCAGCGGTAGTCGAGTGGGATTCCCCGTCTTGTTGCGGACATCTTCTTCAAAAATCGCCTTTTATTCGCAGACAATGATGGTGTATTTTCCCGACGCGACCTACGGGGACTACCTGGCCGTGGGTTTGGCTATCGTATTCCTTGCGTTAGCAGTGGCACAGGTTTTCTTTCATTTTGTTGGAATATTCTACGTGTAAGTATCACTATCAATCAAGTGCAAGCGTTATGAATTAAGTATGATGAGTGTTGGGTGTCGAGTTGTGTCCGGATATTAAAAAAAACATAAATCCTTCTCCTTTGCAAGCTTTGCCTTCGGATTGAACAAAAAATATTCATCAAATCCAGGCTTGATCGCGATCGTAGACCGAATTTTCTGTCTCTTTCGTTCGTTAGCCTCTTATTTGGGTAGGATCAGCTCCTCTCTATAGAGACAGAAACTGACCATAGGCGTTCATTTTCAAACACCATGGCCATTTAGTATTTACGGCCATATTTTTATGTTGTTGTTTTAGTTTATAGGCGTTTGTCATTCAGAAGTGAATATTTACGCCATCCATCCCTTCTAGTCTTCGCCGAAGGCAAAATGATTTTGAAGAAAAACTGTGATAACGTCATTACCAACTTGTAGCTCGCGCACAGTTTTTTCTTCATAATCATTTTGCCTTCGGCGTAGCCGTAGACTAGGAGGGATGATATTTAGATGACGTCATGCGCAGCGAGAGTTTAAACTACGGCTTGCAAGATTTTTAACTGTCTGATTATCAAGATATTTATGATTGGAATTACAAATTTGAAAACCGTTCGCCTGACGGTTTTCATAACACTACAGTCTATTGGGGAAAACGAGTATGGTAAAACCGGTCACTCAAAGATTTTTACTTTTTTGAGGCACTTCTTGATCATTTTGAAGCGCAATTTTTTTAGGGCTTCAATATTACACCATATCACAGACACTGATAACACGTAGGGCCGTGTATCTCAGATTTAACATTGTTAAACGATCCCTTTAAACAGATTTATTCAGTCAAGTTGGTAAGTGGATCAGACGTATGTATATTAATAGCCTAGACTTCTAGGCCTAATTTTCAAAATAGAATAAATCGGATATGCATGAGGTAAAATGAAATTTTGGGGAATTTTGGGGGCATAAACATATGGCCGTAAATGGCCATGGTGTTTAAAAGTGAACGCCTATGGTCGGTTTCTGTCTCTAAAGAGAGAAGCCGACCCTACCCAAATAAGAAAAAAGGGTGATTCCTCGTCCTAACCCAATTCATCCCATGATGTATGATATAATTGATTCAACATAGTGAAGAGAAGTACACATGTGCGGTATGTGCAAAAGCAAAAGTTTGCGATGTTAATCCCGTCTGAAATGCAAATTGACGCAAATTTAAAAAAAAAAATGTTTTTGCATTGCCAATTTTCATAGATACTTTACAATAATAGCAATACCGAAGTTCGCTTACCCATAATTGAGCAAACTCCGTGCATGTGCCTCAGCAGACAACACTTATCGCAATTATAGTAAAGTACCTTTAATACATGTATACATGTAAATGTACAAATGTACCTCTAAAAACATTAGAGTGTGTTATTTTTTAGGTTAATCATATATGGATAAGATGAGAATCCCAATTAAAAAGTGCTCTTAGCCAAGATCATGTTTCCTATTTGATAGCACATACGGTACACATACAGCTACATTTATAGATATTTATAGAATTACTGTATAGCCCATGTTTATTGAGCATCATCAATTCATATGCACTACATGTACATGTACATTTACATTACCTCTTTCCGGGCTGTTGTCACAAAAGGTGTTCATGAAAAGCTACTTAATTTCTTTCTTTCTATGTTTTGTTCTTCTCTTTTATATTTAAAATTTGCAGATTTGCAGAATTATTTGTAATTTTCACAGAACATTTCATAATATGTATTACCACTATACGAAAGAAAGACAAATTTTCAATTGACTTTGCAAATAATTGAGTTGAATGCTAGAAGACATGTACTGTAGTCTAATTTTATTTTTTGATGGCATTTATTGAAATAAAGAAGAATCTTTTCAATCTGAGGAAGTCTAGACAATAAAGTAACAAATTCCACAATGCCAACCAATCTTCAGTTCTTAACTTGTTTTAAGCTTCTGTATTTTCATGGGCAAATAAGATTTTATGAAAAATTTGTTATATAAATTGACCTCTTGGCCTTGGGATTCTTGTGTGCAGGTACCTAGTATGGAATTTCAACATGTTATACATGTACTGTACCGTAAATATACACATGTACAGTACATTCTCATCTGTGAATAATCTTGATTAGATAGAAGTAGTCAGTTTTAATTTGCCTTATTTAGTCATTTCCATCTTGTGCCTATGGTATTCCAAAGGAATTCCATATACCGGTACATAATATTTCTATCCACAATCTTTTAAACTGATTCTTCAATATTTCAATATTATATTTTTGTTGGAAAATTAAAGGGAAATTCAACCCAGAATTAACAGCAAGCTACTCTGAAGGAAGCAGAAAGTCATGGAAATGATCAATGAAAATTGGAAGGAAAACTGATAGAAAGAAGGTTTATTATACATGTAAATGTAAACTGCTAAACTGAAACATAGTGACCACCAGTGGTATGGTAAAGCTGCATCTGAAATGTAAAAATGCTTGTACAGTACATGTACATTCTTAATATCTTACAGTGTAATATAGGGAATTCTCACCTCAAATGAGACAAAGTAAAACAGAAAATTGCATATTTTGCAATACAGTACTTTGGTGGGATTTTTAAGTCTTTCAAACATTCACAACTTTCTTTAACTTGTGACTTGACTAATTTCTTCCCAGCTTTCACTAAAATCTATAAAACTTTCTTCTTTCTCACAGCTCAACCTGCTATAAAAGGGTGTCCCCGAACATCAGCTACACTGAAAAGTTTAATCACTACAGTGTTAAATGTCGGATAAACACTTTCAAATTTCTTTAGTGCCAACCTAGTAAATCTACACATGTCCATACACAGACTGCAAACTTTCATTTTGTTATTAAAGTACTTTAGTGGGAGGGGATTATGGGGGTGGGAGTGGATTATGGGGGTGGGAGTATTGAGTCACGTTTGAAGACCTTCATGCACTCCTCTTTAAAATTGAGTGACCTTTCATGCAGAACCGGGGCAACAAACTTTTGACAGAGCCGAGCGAGTGGTTCAATAGAAGTTCTTTAAATAAATCTGTAATCTGTATTCTGTAAGTGTATGCAGTACACATGTATGACTTGTACATTATGGGTCATGTACATGTACATGTACAGTACCTGTACTGAACTGAACATTTTATAGAGGAAATCTTGTACTGAATATTGCGGGGTTATGAGTTCAGTTAGGACTCAAGTTTCAAAAATATTTTTCTTTGTAGGTCTCTATGTACATGTACAGTATGTACATGTTTACGTGTACATGACATGTATGGTGTGAATGACTTGTGGAAAAAAGATTGTCAGGTTTCTTTAGAAATGCCACAATGAATGGACTTGTGGGTGCGTGACATGGCGAATAGAAAGCCCTTGTCATTTACATGCATACGTATCAGAAAGTGGCATCGTTTTAAAGAAACGTCATACACTGTATTAATAGACTAATGCTGAAGACATCAATTGACATGGCAGCTGGCCGATCATCAGTGCTGCTCACGATAAGCCCCGACCAGTTAAAGGATTTGTGTATGGTACAACAATCAGACTAGATCAGGACCTGGTCCTGGGTACTTTATCAAGTTATCGTTCAAAAAGAAAGTCAAAGAGGCGCCTAGTTATATGATGTTCTATAGTTCTGGTGTACACTGTACATGTATGTGGGGTCACATAATCTTTTGAAAGACACAGTGGTAGGTCTAAATTTCTAAAAATAGAAACACTTTAATAGATCTCTGCTCTATCACCCATAGTATTCATTGTGCACTTTTCCTTTCAGACTCTTTTACAGTAATTGGCCTAATGATATTAGTGCAAATAAAGAGAGAGGGAAAAGAATTGTTGACCATTAGTAGGTTGAGTTCTGTTAAAAGTGAAAAGAATTTGTTGGCCTATGTTAAAATTCTTTTTACCCATACAACAGTTTGGCCACATGCCACGTTAGTATATCAATAGAAATGCCCTGTGAAAAGGGTTGCTATTCAAATGCCCTCACATTTGAAATTTGACCAGAAACTCAGAGGCCCGAATTCACAAAGGAGGTTTGTCGACAAACCGAGGTTTATGTTCGTCATATGACCATTTTGACACATTTTTTACAAACCTGGTTTATCGACAAACCTCCTTTGTGAATTTGGGCCAATGAGAGTTGAAATGTTTGGACCAAACTATGATGCCACATAATTAGTGTCGAGTACCATGTACCCTGTGCTAGGTGCAGACCCTGCAGCGCATTTGACTCTCAGTATTTAAAGACTGATGCAATTTCTTATCATATACATGTACATGTAGATTAGACAGGGCCCAGGTAAAGAGAGAGAGATCAAGAGGAAGAAAGTTTGTTGACCTTGGGCCCAGGTATAGAGAGAGAGAGAGAGAGAGAGAGAAAGTGGAAGAAAGTTTGTTGACCTTGCTGACAACCATTCTGATTGACTGTACCATGGAGTTACTAGCCCATGACTGTACATGATGTAGAGTCGTTTCCCTTCAAACTGGGTCCCTGTGTTCAAAGTTGGCCTTGCCAGGAGTTCCCGTGTTGGCAGTGCATATTTGTAGTACACTCACACTGAATGCTATGGATTTTTCATTCAACCATCTGCTTGATTGAAATACATGTAGGGAGTCACTTATCATTGGTAAAATCTCACAAGATTACTATGTGGACAATATTCCATACAAAATAACTGGGAGCATGGCTTTTGACAGAGAGGTCAGAAAAATAACAGTGGCTACGGAGTAGCTTTTATTTTCAGATACAAAAATATCCTGGGAGAGAGTCTTAGATTCAATCTTTCACTCAGTCATAAAGCCTATTAACCCAGAGTCAAGAGACTGATTGAAAAATTAGAAATATTGGTCAGCTTTCAATGAAAATCAGCGGATGATGTGATTATGACATCTGTAATTAAAATGTCATGTACATGTATTTTGTGAGAAACTGGCTTAAAATTATTTTGAATTGTTCATCAAAACACCACTACTACATGTACTACTTCTACTACTCCTACCCCTACTACTCCTACCCCTTCTACTACTTCTACTACTCCTACTGCCACCCCTACTGCTACTTCTACCACTACTTCTACATGTACTACTCCTACCTCTAGTCCCCTACATGTACTACTTCTACTACTACTACTACTACTACTACTACTACTACTACTACTTTACTACTACTACTACTACTTTACTACTACTACTACTACTACTTCTACTACTACTACTACTACTACCACTTGTACTTCTATGGTGCTTCTAATACTTTTAGGGTACATGTCTAATTGTCTACTACATGTACATGTATATCATTGCCAGAGCATCACTATGCACTTTTGAAAGGGACCTTCATCAACCCTTCCAAACGACTCATCTCAATGCAAATTATATTAGCCTGAGAAACCACAATATCAACACATTTAGCTTCTCTACAAACAAGGCATGTACATGTAAGCTAGCAGGCTAATTCACAGTCATGATACTGTGTACACCTACAATAAGGTCTACCAACAACTGTGGTATGTGGGTGTATTGGACTATTGGTTTATGCAAATTTCAAGAAGAGTTGGATAACATGTATGGTTAAATCATGGGATGAATAGAAATACCGTAATGAAAAAAAGGGGAAAAAAGAAGAAGTTGTTTTTAATTATTTTATTTTATTTCAGTAATGAAGGAGAGCATTTTAATCATTTCATATGCCATCTAATACACTTGTACATGTAGAAAGAAAAGGAAAAGGGCCTGCGATATTCCTATGGATGAAAAAAATGATGTCAAAACATTTTTCAATTTTTTGCTCTCTTTTGCATGTAGCATTGTATGCATTATTTACCTATCCACCCCAATAAATTAATGTACAAATATTGTCTTGATTTCAATAACATTTATTAAAGTATTTTGCAATAATATTTAAATAAAAGTCTACATGTACATGTACTTCATAAATTTGTAATAGCATGATAATTTTATGATTTAAGCAAAGTGCTTGATTTTGACAGGTTGGATGATTTGGATTCAAAATTCATTTAAAGACCAGTACATACATGTATATGTCACACAAAAGTGAATTTATATTTAGTTTATTAAAGTATAGCCCCAGTTATACAAAAGAAACAGCGATCTATACAGTAATAATACAGATGATAAAGGATACTGCAAGGTATGTGTTTAGCAAAAAATAATACCGGTATCCAAAATTTAGCTTTGCTTGAAGGGTAAATGTTATTACATCCGATGTCATCCAAACAGCGATTTCAAGTCTGAAACGAGTTTGCTGGCATTATGGTTATCCTGAAGAAGATTCTAGAAGGGTTTGCGGGGCAAGGTCCATAGATCTACTGTAGATCTATCCAAATTATTAATATCCCAGGTGATCAAGATAATGAATTATAAATCCAGAATCTAATAGACTTGATGCATGGCTAATGATGGTTTAAGTGAACTCTGATTTGATTTTCAAAACTCCCAGCTATACAGTATATATAAACCTCCAGAAGTATCTTTTTCGGCTGACTATTTTTGATTTTGTATCCCACTAGACAAAGCGATATAATAGCCCTACACATTTATACTCAGTACCGGTTAGCAATTAATATTATCGGCAAATTGCTGCATTGCAATGTTGTTTTGATATAATAGTATGCTGAATACATTGTACATGTTCGTCATGTAACCTACAATTCTGTACATGTTATTAGCTCTGTTGTACAAAAACAACACAAATAATCTTACAATGTAAGTTGTAATAAAGCTTAAAGCCCATGCTCAGGTTTAGTAAACCTTTCATTGTTTCAGATTTCTTTGATTTCTTTGATAAATACCAAATAAAGATCAACTGTATCTTTGACTTTTACACCTAGACTGGAATTTTTTTCATAAAATGAAAATATTCTATGAAAGAGAGCCATGCAGTCAGCAAGTCTCCAACAACACAACAACTCCTGGGGACAGTGTGTCACATTTCTGCGACTTTGGTGCTTTCTGCAAAACAGAGCTCATTGCATTTTTTGAAATATATTATTATGAGCCCTAATTTGAACTTTTGAACGTCATCGATTCTCCTGAGGCTTTGACACTCCTCTAACCTTTGTAAGTCGATTGTTGTACGTAAAAAAAAAAAAATCCAACTTGCTTTTGGAAATGATTTAGAACACTGAAGCCATGCCAAAAATTCTGTTTTGCTCCCTGGGGCTCTCTAAATTTATTTGTGGAGTTGTACTATTTTTTCGAGAGCTCTTACTTTGAGCTTACTTTGTTATATATTTGTTTAAAGTGTGCAAGATAAAAAATTGTTCTTTGCTTCTGTAGCCTACATAATGTACATGTACATACACATTCATGTACATGTATGTACTGTACGTACAGTTGTTGATAGCAGTTCACGAGACACTGTGACTGGTTGCACCACGCGTGCTTCAGCTCCAAAGCACTATATTTGATATTCTACACTGACCAAATCCTTAACTTTAGCCCTAAAGTTTCTAAAACCTAATTCAGTAGACCGATTTTGAATAAATTTTAGGCATACTTTTTAAACAAATGCTGTTCTTGACAACCTGAACGCTTGCCCAAGGCTTACCCGACATAACAACAAGTAATGTATTCAGACTGGATTCCAAGTATTGAAGTTCATTAACTCGACACTAGGTACCCAGGAAAGAAACATCCATAGCTTTAGTAAACGGGTCTATTGCGACCCTAATGATGTAATGTAATCAGGGAGATGTCACTGACATCTCCCGGATGTAATGAAGCCAAGTGAAATTTTTGCTAGAGCATACTGTATGTTGGATCCCACAGTACACCATAATGTACACGTATTTGTACATTTTATGACCAAATCAAGATATGGACTTACTTTTACATGTACAGTGTACATGTCAATTGTCAAGTTTGCAGTACCGGTATGTGTGCATCCATATTTGCCATATATATGGACAGATTTATTTATCAATTTTCAGTTTGCAGGCCTGCTATTTACGTGAGGTACAGGTACATGTAGAGGATACAATAGGCTATATGTTTACGTGCAAGATGACTTGATATTGATACCACTGCAATACATGAAAATTCTAGGCCTCTCAAGCTTCCATTTCTATTAGGGCAACTCCACAATGGCAGTAACAGCTAGAATCACCTTTGCTTGGTCGGCATTGCGATATACAATGTACATGTACCGGTACATGTTATATTCATTGTGTCAGTGTTAGAAAGTGACATTAGTATAGTAGGCCTACTGTGTTTTTTTCTTCACATGAAAGGCTTTTAGAATTGAAAAAAAAATTAGTAACTGAATTAATCAATTGAGCACATTTGTTTTGTTTCACCACAAAAACGATTAAAAAACACACACATGTACAGTGTATACAAACAACGACAGACAGAAAATCTAAGTTTTAAACACTTCAGTTAAAATTAATTGAAGGAATGTGTTGTGCCTATTGGTGGTAGAGACATTTGTGGCATGAAAATTAAGATTTATTGACTGAGTGAACTTTAAATGTGGCTTTATACCCAGTGGTAAGGGTAATTACTCCACGTACATGTAGATATACAGTACATGTACATGTACAGGTATGTACATGAGTACCAGTACTTTCATTTTTATTAAAAATAAACTTGAGTTGTGGTACAGGTAAGTATAGAAAAATAAATTCTTGCAGAATCCTTTGAAACCATTTCACTGGTTCGAACAACCAATCTACTGCAGGATAAACAATCCAGAATAAATCATAACATAGGGTAGTTTAATTTTGACTTACTGTACAGTTGTTTGTATGTACAATAATATATTAAAATGAAATGGATTTAGAAATTGTGGGATGTCATTGCACAATGTGTGTAGGAGTTGGTCTGTCAAACCTCAAAGGAAAGAGCATCTACAAATGTGTAGGTGTACAGCTGTAAACAGGATGTTTGTATCTGGATCAATTCCCCCCCCCCCCCTTTTCTTCTCCCACATTCCAGTGTGGTGTTGAAAGTTATCAGCCAACTAAACTACAGTGTACCCATGAATGTAATGACACACCCAAACAAGAGACTCACCTCTCAAGTGTGTTTTTTTTTTATAAACTCCGCTGAAACTCGGTGGGTTTTTGCATTATGAATTTTCGCTCTTAAAACACTAGTGATTTGTATTAAGATTTTGGATTGTTATGACAACATGTACAGTACATGTGTATAGAATATCCTCACTTCTGCACTATACATGTAAGGCCATGAAAAAAATAAACATGTTTAGCGTCCCAGCCCGCTTCCTTTGTGGGGGCTGCCTCCTAATTTTTTTGATTTTTTTTTTTTTTAAAGAAAAAAAAAACATGAAAAACACTGCCTAAAATGGATCTATTTCTAATTTTTTTTTTTTTTTAATGTCGGCGGCCAACTTGAAAAATAGCCTGACTGTCAGGGGAAATGTACCGAGCAGCCATTTTGAGCGACCATTTTGAAAAAAAGATAAAAAAGGGCCTCCTCCTTCCTATTTAAAAAAAAAGCAGGACGCTAAACATGTTTTTTTTTTAATTTGGCCTAATGGAGGAACAGTGACAAGTTGCACATGTGCATTCACAAAAACCCAGCATCAGAACACATGTACATGTATATCAAACTTTCGAGGTAAAGTACATTTTTCATGGCCTAACCGCTATTATACTTCTCATTTTACAGGAAACTATGTATGTACAGAAAACCAACGAATGTTCTCCGAGATGAGATGCCTGGTGTATCTATTCTGAAGCCTCTGTGTGGTGTTGATTCCAACCTCCAACCCAATCTGGAATCCTATTTCCAACTCAGCTATCCACGGGTAAGGCTTCTCATTTTTTAATGTTACAGTTGTTACATTTTATATTCTGGTATATTCTCATCCTTCATTACTCAGTTAATGACTCACAGATTACAATGTACATCAATAACAAACTTTATGGGAAAGCCTGCCAGACCGACCTAGAATAGCATAATCTTCCTGCTAAACATTGTACCGCAGGAAAATACAATTATTTACATGTACATGACACTAAAAACTTTACACTAATTACCATTATATCCCACATACTAAGATTGGTCTTAAGAGGTCACATGATCAATGATAGATAAGTACTATCTCGCTGCAATAGGACTTTTGTACCGTAATTTTTTTGCTGCTGTCCCACTTGCCCATTGAATAAGCATAGCAAAGTAGGTTACGCGAAATGTCAATGTCAAATGAGAGTGCATCGACTGTACATGTATTACATGTACGCATGTTGTGCTTTGTAAAATCTAGCTGAAGCTAAACTGTCTGCAGAATCAGTTGTTTTAATTACCGGGTATGTAAAATTTACTTTAAATAGACCTTATTGCCGATGTGGGATATAAAACAAATATTAACCTCCTTTACTCGGGCAATGGATACAAACTATCATCGCCTCCGGTAATTGTAATGTTCATACTGTACATTAAAAGGTAATGGATAAGGCTACTAAAGAGTTTTTGATAGTAGTCCTTGGCCAGTCCTTTGTAGATGAATGGTTTACTATAAATCATATACGCTATTTATACAGGGAAAGTGAAAGCTGAACAAAAACAATTGTCTACTGCACTTAACTATCTATAATCATATTAAATTAACCACACATGAGAAGCAGTAAAAGTGGATCTTGTACTTACAGACAAGTGGCCTATTTAAAGGCATCATTTATCAATGTTAAATCTGAGATGCATGGCCCTACATGTACTTGTTATCAGTGTCTGTGATATGGTGTAATAATGAAGCCCTACAAATATTGCGCTTCAAAATGATCCTGAAGTGCCTCAAAAAAGGTTTTACCATACTCATTTTCCCCTATAGACTAGTGTTATAAAAACCGTTAGGAAAACAAATTTTGAAATTTTGATTTCCAATCATAAATATCTTGATAATCAAACAGGCAATCGACTTGTAAAAGTCTTCGGATTCCTGACTGACCTAACAGGTTTATAAAGTGCAGCATGAGCTAAATCCAGGATTTTGTTTCAGGATCTGAGACAATGTTACCGAGTCACTTTAAAGACAAGTGGCCATCCAGATTGGTGCTACTACAGTTTTACTTTCAATTTTTAATTTGGTTGATTCTGTGACAGAAGTGATATTAGATTTGTGCTTGCAACACTCGCTCTGGGCTTTAATCCATCAAAGATATAGGGTTAAAAGCCTTGTTCAAATGTTCTACAGTAAACTACTGTGTATTCATCCAAGTTTTTTATCTTGATGTAAAGTGTAATACCCTTCACATGTTTGTAACTTATAACACAGAGCGAAGTGTAGGACCTTTGTTGCGCACATTTGCCATTTATTGATCCATTAATTTTTGTAATATTTTTTTAGGCGGCTTCATATCATAACTAGCTTTTTAAGGGATTAGGTATCTTTGCCTCAGATTCTAAAGAAAATCCTGGATGTAGCTCATGCTGCAATCATAATTATAAACCTTTGAGTCAGTCAGGCATTCCAAGACTCTACAAACTGATCGCCTGTCTGGTATCAAGATATTTATGATTGGAATTAGAAATGTCAAAGACTGTTTGCTTGTACATGTAGGGCCATGCATCTCAAATTTGTAAAATTGGAAACATTGTTAAACAATGCCTTTAAGGTTGCAGTTGGTGATAGGTTAGGTTTAATGTTAAGGTTAGGGTTTTGGTGTAGTGTTATGTCCAGGGTTGAAGTTAAACATGCACATGTACATACATGTAGGAAATGACCACGGATCAGACGGTTGCCAGAGCATGCTGATATCATACAAGTTACCTTTACAATCTGATTCCCATCATTACCAAAAATGATTTACTTAATGCTCTCTCCAAATCCCTCTAGTTTAAGTGGGATTGAATGTGGCTAGCATGGGGTAATCGAGAGTCACAGCCGTTGGATGGGCAGCCATTGACTCGTTAAGTCTTTTTTATGATGGATGTGGGTTGTTTACGTGGGTTGTTTACGCTGAATATAAATCCTGGGCAGCTAATGGGCAGCTCTTGATGATGATCTGTTGTCATTAGCTTCATTCACACTGCAACAAAAAAGTATTTCTCAGTTTTTGTCACAATCCAGTGTTTCGGCCGTAGTTGCAAATGCGACAGAAAAAATAAAAATTGAAAGACCCACAACTGGAGTGTGGTTTTTGTAACCATTTTTTTTTCAGTGTAAAAGCAAATTTGATGAGATACAGGTTATTCATCACGTGACTCTCCTCGTGCATGTGCACTACTCGCCAAAAAAAACATGGTATGAGCAGGTTTTTCAATTTTCATGGGTTTTTCAAAATGGTCTCCTGAAAGTGTAAATGGACCTAGATGTCTCCGTTTTATTAAGGCATTGATCTAGCGTTAATCTTTAACTATCCCTGTCCCATCATTACAAAAGCCTTTAATGTAGGCCTTGGGTAATAAATCACAATTTAGCTTTTAACTTCATGTCTTATTGAGGTGAAAAGAAGGCCATTGAATTCAGGAAACGCCTATTCAACATGAAAGCCATACATGACATTTTGTACACAAATTTGTGCAATTATGCTAGTGAAGAGCAAATTTGGCATCATTGTTTAGTAAAATAACCCTGCAATTCTGCCAGATATACGGAGGAAACGTGCATTTAGAACATTAAAAACAAACTCATGATGATATCATGATAATTATACAGAATTTTGTTCCTCCCTTCTACATGTACATGAAAGATGTTTACAAAACATATTAGGAATACAACGAAAATTCAAACTTACAAAATCGGCATTCAAGATTCAACAATAGTATTTTTACCTGAAGCTTTTCAGTAATATTTTTAGGCAGTTGAAAGTTTTAGATTGAAGCATATAACTACTTTTTAGATTTGTACTAATATGTTGAACATAATATACATGATGCTAAAAAGTAAGCATTAAACCTGTGATGAATTTGTCCATCATGCTGTTATTACACCATAATACATAACAGTACAGTTTTATGAGCTATCATCTCTGTTAGACTTTACGTACATATACAGTACATGTAAATCTTTACAGTATTTGGCAATGCAGATATGCTTTAATATTTTCATTTTTTTAGTTTCTACTGAAGTGATATTTTATTACAAAACAATTCATTAGGCTTCCATCCAAATGCACAAGATCTTCAGGGAAATAATATCATGTATAAAAACACTTGTAACAAGATATCAAGTCTATATGTACATGTTTATGTGAGTCAGAGTCTTGTTTCATATCTAACAATTGTTTTGAATTCCTTTCACTTTATATCAAACAGGATTTTCCTCTTTGAAACTGCATTTCCCTTTACTTGTGTCAATATTTTAATTAGTTTTCAGTTATTACATATGAAGATGCATGCAGGATCCAGGATATTTTTTTTTTAAATTAAAAAAATAGGAAGAAAGTCAATATTAAATTTTTAATAAGTTATTTTCTTGAAGCATTATCCACTAAGCCTTGTTCAGTCATGTTGCACTAGGCCACCCCCTAAAACTATTCACTGCTGGAAAAATAATAATCACACCAAACATAGTGCGCATCACAATATTCTATTACATGTACATGTAGGTGCAGTATGAATGCGTGTTATTAGTATAATTGTTGAATCACAAGACACTTACATGTACATTACATAATGTAGTTCACATAAGAATAAGATCCTACACATGTACTTGTATGTTTGCATTTTGAAACATATTCTTTTACATGTAAAAGGGTTTTATTTTGCAGCAATGGTTTTCTTTCAGTTAATACTGTGACTGTGCCATAAACGGTTGGTTGTACAGTGTTACACTGTACAGTATGTCGTTTTGCCTAAGGTTCCTTAAAAATAATTAATCTGAAATGTTCATTATTCAAAAGGATAAAAATTGTAAAGGTTTTGAATTCCTGAAAATTCCGGAAAGTTCCGGAAATGATACAGGGTTACTAATTCCAGAAGTAAAAATAGGGTTCATAAGTTTTGAAAATAAAACAGAACCCCACACGTGTGTGTATCATTTCGGAATTACAGACCTTCAAAAAAGGAACCTTTGGATAAACAAATGCCCCGTCTCAATAGGGCCTCAGACTCAGGGAAAAAATTAATATTTATTTTTCAGGGGCTACTTTTCAAACTTGCCTGCATGAAAATAATATTCTAAAATTTGTTTTGCATTGAACTATATGCAAATTTAAGGGGGCTCTTTTGGGCATATCGGGTGCTATTTCGCCCTGAGCCCCCGTGTATTTTTTCACTGCTCAGACTACACATATATTTTAAAGTTATTTTCTTATTTTCTGTCTCAACAGTTTGAACTGCTCATCTGTATACAAGACGAAGAGGACGAGGCTATAAAAGTTGTTAGGCCGCTCATGGAAAAATACCCTCATGTAGACGCAAGATTATTTATAGGTAAGTGCCAAAATAACAATAATATCATCTGCTTGGCACAAAGGCAATAGAAGCAGAATTCCTAATAATTATGTGTCAATTTGGAAATTTGCCTGTGCCATTTGCTTGTGCCGTTCTGCTGAACATAATGATGTTAACCATTGTTTTTAACTATGTGGCTTACATGGACATATAATGTTATGTGAAAATTGTGTAAAGAGAAGGTTAGTTAGTTCTTGGAAAGGTGACAAATATTTTGTGAGCTTTTTCATTCTTTTCATGTTAGTGTGGAAGAGTATCACAGAAATATATATGTCCCCTGAAAAGGATGGCTCTTCAAATGCACTCATACTCAACACATGACAGGTAACGTCTAAAGGTTGCAGAATGCAATTTTCATGCCTTATGTTTTTGTAGTCCCGTATAGACATTTCTGTGTACAGTTCATGTGACTCTTCGCAAGACTGAGCCAATTTGTTATCATTTTGATGTTTCCAAACCTGACAGTGATGTGCTACATGATCAACCTTTTCCCTTCATATTACAATTGCATGACCAGGTCCCTGTTTTACAAAACTTACCATTGATGATAACTTTGCCATCATATTTATATTCATATTTATTTCATTTCCAACAGAAAGGTAAACAAAGATATTGCATTTTATTTCATCAATGCTAACTGACATGGAAATAATAATAATAATATTTAGCTTTTATATAGCGCTTTATAATACAATGTCTCTATAAAAAGCGCTTTACAAATATACTATTACCCCGGTCATTGGATTCAGTGCTTGCCCGCACACACTGTGTGCACAATCTTGATTTTGATTTTGATTGGCTGTTGAGCCCTGTTTCCATGGTAGTTGCCATTGATGGCAAAGTTACCATCAATGGTAAGTTTTATGCCAGGGGCCCAGAAAAGGAGTAAATGGTTTTTTATGTCCGAGGGGAGGGATTCTTCATATTCTCAAGGACGTCTGAAGCAAAGAATTATCATTTGTGTCTGAAAGATAATGAGATGTCCAGTATGGCCGCAATCATTTGTCCATCTTTTATTGTACCTGTTCATTGAATGATGCAGCTTCAGTCACAGTTGAAAGAGATTATACAAATTCTGTCTGGTGACCTCAATACACCGGATAATATTCGTGGAATATGATTGGTTCTTTATCCTACATGTAATGTCCACTTGTAAGGATGTCACATATGATGCAATAGTGTTATGCAACGCTAAATCAACCAGTCTACCATTTATTCGTCAGTTACGCAAAACACACACAAACAACTCAAATTTACAAGGGTATGAATAATTTAGTAGTTATTGTAAACTGACATCGAATGTGTGATTTCGCTTTGCTGGTCTCATTCAAGCTGCAGTAGGGCTTTTAATTCTATACAGTCCTCAGGTACACAATTTCTGTGTTCAGACTTCTGAAATATATGGTATAGCAATGAGAGAATCTCATAGCTTTATGATAAGTAATTAAATTTGGCCTAGTCTAAACGTCATAAACAAATATATAGCAAAATGTATGACGATACGATTATTTGAGCAATGTTTCAAACAAAACCAATGCTAAAGAATCAGGATCCCGCTCGGTAGCTCTAGTCTGGGCGTGGTATCTTATGAAAATAGGATACATGTAACTGGTTTTGAATGGGTTTATAATCGAGAGTATGCACTGTTACTTGGCCAGCTGTCTTGCTAGTTGACCTCTTCAACATTTGCTCATTCTTTTGTTATCATACGATGTTTTTCCTCGTCTGTATGCTCCTTTCACTTTACGGTGATTTTTTATACGCCATACATACAAGTTTCATATAAATTTTGTGTAGTCTGAACAGTTATTACTGAAGTTATATAAGTTATTCAAGTTATTACTGAATTTTTAAATCAACTGTTTTTAATGCATTTTTAAATCAACTGTTTTTAATGCATTTTTATATGATACAATGTGAGCAATGTACACTTTAGATTATTACTGAATTTTTAAATCTACTGTTTTTAATGCATTTTTATATGATACATTGTGAGACAATTATTGTTAGTCTTTGGACCTTTTATTCGGTATATTTGTAATAAAACCGAAATCTATATGCGGTTGGTAACAGACCTGTACAGTATGAGACAAGCAGTTGTACAGTACGTGTAGCTTTCGTCAAATGACGGGAGTATACATGTACATGTAGCATCTTCATGTAGGCCTACATGTACCTACCAGCATTTATCATTCTCAAAATGGGATGGCCATGTGATGTGTTCAAACTTCAATTCAGCAATTTCTTGGGGTAACATAAAAAATAAAAAGTATACCAGTATTTGCCTAGAGTCATAAATACATGTACATGTACACTGTAGCTACATTTGTACATACAGATAGTACACTGGGCATGCACATGTACAGTGTATGATGCCAATGTTACAGCATGAAAGGATTGTTTTAAAAAGCCAGATTGTTCAAAATTACTGTTTTGTTTCATGGGAGCCTTTTTATTTCCACTTGTGCAAGTGTGATTTTTTAGTTTTTTACAGTACGATGCATGCATTGCAGACGCAGTGACTATTGCTTTGTGGTATTCAATTACGAGTCAACAATTGATATTGAAATTAAGTATTTATTGTCCATTCAGAAATTTGTTTTTCGCTGGTAAATGTTTACAGAGATCAATTTACAAAAAAGACATTAATAGACAGCTTAATACAGTAATGGTAAACTAAGTTCATAACAGCTTTAGTTGGGTGAGGTTCATGTACATGTACAGTACATGAAATGAAATACATTGATAAATAATAGTATTACATGTACGTGAAATAAAATTGAATATTGAGTGGAGGAGCCAGCAGAGGCCAAAACCATTATAAAAACACCTACTTTAATTACAGTGAAACGTGCTTTAGAAATCACCTGTATAGAAACTTTTTCAGTTTCCCATGCAAAAGATTTTTCATTGAAATGTAAACACACGTACTATAAAACGAACGTGTACACTGTATATAAAGACCACCTGCGTTTAACGGGGCATTGTGGCATGCGGCTGTAATCCAGCTAACAATGGATGTTACAAACTGATTCAGCCAAAAACACAGGTTAAAAACTGATTCATGTCTTTCAGATGGTGTCGTTAAAAGTCGGTCCCCAGACATAAATATTCATATCTGATTGATACACGTCTGTAAAAAAAACAATTACACACACAAGACCACTTTTGAAACTTCGAGCAAATATAGTTTCTTCCCAGAGCTTTTTCATGGCCCAATTATTTGCAATAATTTGAGTGAGGACATTCAACAACAAAAAATATATAAAGGCCCGGTCCCACTGCACTTACGGATGCAAAGAGGATGTAAAACGTAAAAAAATCTTGCAGTCCGTTGGAAAACGCTATGCATCCGTTGTGTACTTATTGCATACGTGTTTCATACGCTCTATCCATCGAGCATCCGTCCACTGTGATTTCATCCGCGCAAAAAGTTTTGAACTGCACAAAACTTTTAGAACGGATGAACTTCCGCCGTGTACGATGTAAATCCGCGACAAATACGAGCAACAAACGTTCTATGTCCGTTATCGTCCATTGAACATCCGCTCTGTCCTCTCTGCATCCTCTGGGCATCCTCGCAACTCACATCCGCTGCAGCTGAAAACGGAAAGAGGGAGGAAAGATAAGGTACATGGAACGTCTATACATCGTTAGTAGCACGGAAATAGAAAGGATGTAAGCGTATGCATCTCGTATATAAAGTATTCAAATCTGTCATCCACTTCCATCCGCTTTCATCCGCTAGGCTTCCGATGAACATCCGTTTAACATCCCCGCTACATACTACCCACGTCCGTTATTTTCCGTTCTGTTTTCGCAAATTTTCGCAAATTTTGTCCATTTCTGGAGCGGATGAAAACGGATGGAGCCACACCCGAAATTTCGCTCGTCCGCTGTGTCCGTTATGCATACGTTTTGTGTCCATCGGCCAGTGGGACCGGGCCATAACATATCAAACATTTAAATATAAGGATTGTTTAATTGAAATTGAATAATATGTGTACACTTTGACTTTATTAAAACCAAGTGAAATGTGATTTCTCTCTTCTCTTCTCTCTCTAACTTTCTTCTTTCCTATTCGTAGTTACAAATATAATATAATTTGTAATGTTTACGATATAATTACATGTACATGTACATGTATGTGGCTTAAATTTTGTTTTGTTTTCATAGAGAATCATTCTGAGCAAGCCACTTTAGTTTTTACAATTTACCACTTCTCTTAAATCTGTTATATATGTACATATGATATATATTTTTGATGGTTTTAAAGAGAGAGAGAGAGAGAGAGAGAGAGAGAAATAAATGAAAAAGTAGTAATTCAGCTATTAACTGCAGTGCACGCTTGGCACTGTCTGGTACCCATGTTTACATTGTATTTATGAATAAGTATTATGAAAGACACTGTTTGATCTGCGTCTAAAAGGTGCCTACCAGTACCATAAATAAGTACTGTCACGGGCTGATCAATCGAGTTATTCCGATTGTCATGCGTTACTTCTCTCACAAAACACATTATGTGTTCTGTTTTGAGCCTCCATAAAGCTATGAGATGCATCGCTTCATCTGTAGTACCTCTAAGGTGCCTTCCCGTACCATGCACATATACTGTCACTGTCTGATGGATATCCCGCTCGACTCAGGTTGCTGAATTTGTCTCATAAAATACGGTAAAAACATGCCTACGAGTACCATTCATCACTGCCTGATCGAGATGTCCCCGATCGTCACAGCTTGCTTGTCTAATGAAATACATTATAATATTGTCCGTTTGGAGCCAAAATGGTATAAACTCTATATGTTTTAGCACAGAGTTAACACCCTTCTGGCTCTGAACAGACATTATGAAGGAGGCACTGAGGTTAATGGTTTTATGGATGAATTGAATGTAACATGGACTTGTTTTATGTCTTGTGAAAGGCAATATATGACTTTAAAAAGCCATTTGTAGTTTGTACAAAACTGTACATAGGGATAAAATGTAGAAATCTATTTTTGTTCAAAATGATGAAAATGCAAAGAACAGTTTTGTTGAATATATATGTTCATGAAGAATTATGAGAAATTATAAAGGAAGTCTACTCGTATGTTTATGAATGTACATTGTATATTGTGCTTGTGTTATCAAAAATCAAAATCTGTTTTTACATTTTAAGAATTATATGCAATCTGCATGCGTCTTATCAATTCTACTTGTTAGACATGGCCCTGTAGGCCTATACATTGGGCCATGTCTTTCATGCGGAAAATGAGATGGAAATCTATTTTACTTTTAGAATTAAGAATATTATGTTCAGTTTGTGAAAAAATATAGATTAATTCATTCCTCAAAAATGATACTTGCAACCTGTGTGGTACTGGTAGAGTGATTGTTGATACCTTGTATACACTGTACGTATTAATGATATGAAAGTCTATGTTTGCCTCTAAAGAATTTAAATGTAGTGTTCATTTTTTTTAATAACCTACATGTGTGTACAGCATTTTCATTGTGCAGTACTCGTCTCATATTGGTACTGGTATTTAATGACTAGTGACATCATAATCTTTTTTTAGTTCCAAAGAAAGGATTTGTATTATTCATTGCTCAACAATGATTGATCGTGCAGCACATGATGTCTAGCATTGTTGTCACAAGACTGCCGAAATGGATCACATGATGATGATTTCAGCCGACTTTAATAATAAAATCTCTGTTTATTTTAATCTTTAGTGTTTTTCCCCTCTTGTACAATGAGCGATTACACACAAAGCACTGCCAGCACCATTCCTGCATCAGGCACTTTGGGCATGGATGGTTAAGACTGTTTTGTGTCTTTCTGGCACCAATCAAACATGGTGGGTGTTTCATTAAGCTGTTCGTAAAGTTACGCATGACTTTACGAACGACTTGTATATGAAGTGCCAGATAGGATGCCCAAAGTTTTTCTGACATTTTCAATAAACTCAATTAAATTATGGCAAAAAATGTACTTTGCATTAAAAATGTTTGTTATAATAAGAATGTTAATCTACATCAGCACAGTTCAACTTTAGTTGATGCAGTTAATAATGATTGAGCATCCCATTTGGCTTTTCATATACAAATCGTTTTTAAAGTCATGCATAACTTTACGAACAGCTTAATGAAACAACCCCCAGTTTATATTATTTTAGGCCTGCTTGTATTTAAAGATAGAAAATATGTGAAATTCACCAGAATACTCTTCTTTAAACTGTATTGAACAACGTTTCTGTGCGATGGCATCCAGGCGCAGGGACAAGACGTGCATGCGCACAACTCACCAAATAACCAGAGCAATAAACACTGATGTGTTTTATGGGTTTGTCCAGGATTGTAAATGGTAGTAAAAAAAACTGTTGGTTCTTCAAATTGTTTTATTTGCAATGTAAATTTGACTAGTGTTCTAGCTAAAAGCAAACAATGCATGTATGATGATTCACACAAGTATGATATCACTGATTATTTTTTCCCTTTTTTCTCACCCCTCTTACACACACCTTACTCACACATCTGCAGGTGGGTCAAAGGTCGGCATCAACCCAAAGGTCAACAATATGCTTCCAGGGTACAAGGCATCGAAGTATGACATCATCATGATCAGTGATAGCGGTATATCAGGTAAGGATATATACATTTTTTATTTGATGAACACGTTCATACCAGCCACACGTAGCTACATGTGCTGCATGTACACTGTATCTGCAAAGTAGCCACATATGTTGCAGCTCATTTGGGCGATTCCTATGCACTGAATCTTGAAAAGACTTGAAAATATCAAAATATTTCATCTTGTCTGCCGAGAAACAGACTCAGACTCTATTTACCCCTTTCTTAGTGGCCTGATTTTCATTGGATGCATCCGATGAAAATCAGGCCACTATGAAAGGTTCAGAGGAGAAAAAGGCGATAGAATAGCAGATGAAAAGAAGATAGAATAGCCGAAGAAAGAAGAGAAAAAAGGCGATAGAATAGCAGATGAAAAGAAGAGAAAAAGGCGATAGAATGGCAGATGAAAAGAAGAGAAAAAGGCGATAGAATAGCAGATGAAAAGAAGAGAAAAAGGTGATAGAATAGCAGATGAAAAGAAGAGAAAAAGGTGATAGAATAGCAGATGAAAAGAAGAGAAAAAGGTGATAGAATAGCAGATGAAAAGAAGAGAAAAAGGTGATAGAATAGCAGATGAAAAGAAGAGAAAAAGGCGATGAAATTCTCCTGCTCAAGCAGCTCACAAGCGATTGTGCAATAATTCTTCACTTCCTGCCGGGGCTCGACACAACGAGTGAATTTCACCGGCTGTATGAAAGAGACGGCAGGGAGAGCGGTGGTTTAAACTTTGTTTACATTTAAGGCAAATTCTATCGGTATTTTCATCAGTGTGACTCCGATAGAAGCACTATGAAAGGGGTATCTGGCTTTATAAGATGATGACGTGGATCCTAATCAAATGATTGGTTGAAAGCGTACACATGACCAGGCATTTATTTTGCCTAACGCGTAATTTGGATAACAACCGGTCATTATCTAATGGTAATGACCGGTCATTATCAAAATCATGTTTTAAAACATCATTTATAAAACATCATTTATAAAAAATAATCTTATAAAAAAAATGGTACACATCATTTTGTTCGGGCATTAGTAAAATTACCCACACTCAATACCTTCAAAACAGTCCAAACACCCTCTGCAATTGCCTCGGGCTTGTTAGACTGTTCCAAAGGTACCTCGTGTGGGTAATTCTTACTAATGCCTCACTGCTATGTATTATTTGTATATTGTCCTTGCCCAGAGCAGCTAAATAACAGAGATAATGTACGTCATGTGCGATACATTGCACAGAATCAACTTTTTGCGGATACACTGAATATTCAACAAACAGCCACAAACATAAACGTTACCACTGACTGATAGTGAATATTGCGACATTTTAAACTCCATTTTCATATTTGGCAGCCTCTTGGGTATACACTGTACAAAGGCCAAATATAGCAATACTGTAGATACCTTGTATACGGTGCTTTCTTAGGAATGGGGTCAAAATAACCAATCAATCAATCAATTAATCAATTTATTAGCTGAAGAGCAGCAACACATCGCAGGTTGTGCTGTGGAGCAGAAAGCTTGATTCATAATTATACTAATCAGGCCGTTCTTTATGACATAAATTGGTATATACGCTTTACATTTCATTTGCAGCTAGTTTTACCGCATCGTATGTGGACAAGCCTTCGGTAACTGTCGTATATATATGACAGAGAGATGAGAACACACTGTTATTGTGATGTCATGTATCATGTGATTGTGATGTCATCGTATGTGGACAAGCCTCTGTAACTGTCATGTTTAAGTTTCAAGTTCATTTATTTCACTTTATCAAAGGTAACATAATTGAACATAATGAACTTAGTAATTATTATAACTAAACATACAATATAGAAAACATAATGTACATGATAATAGTTATAACAGAGGATACAATCATATAAATCAATCAATAAAGTGGGGGATCTACTAAAAAGCAAAGCTTGTATTATGTAGGTCCCGGTTCATAGGTTTGTATTTAAATTAGGGTATCTGAATTATCGTATTTACATATGATTACACGAGGGTTATCTTTCATGTGTCAGAGATATGACAACATATTTCTATTGTGATGTCATGTATCATGTGATCAACCAACACCACTTCAGAGGACTTGCATTAATACAAATCTACTGCAGCAAGTGCCAACTGTACTGCAATGTACAGGATGCATTAGGCAATACCAGGATATTGCTGTAGCATTGTGGTATATTGCCTTTCTGGGATGGGAAATGGCTATGGGAAATGGCTATGGGAAATTGTTTACAGATCCTAGCATCGTTGCTGTATTACCGTAAATCTCCGTGTATAAGGCACACTTTTTTGCCGCCGAAAAAATTTGAAAGTCGGGGGTGCGCCTTTCTAATAGATGTAGTTTATAATAATAATTCCTCAATTTTTTTTCTATTCATATCATGCATGACTATTGATGTTTGGCATAGAACATAGTGCTTCTGCTAGGTGATGTGATGAGGCTGGTGTGAGACACTTGGTATCATGAAGCCTTAGAGTATGGACCTGTTTTTAATTTACATTAATGATCTTACACATTCTTCTACAACGACATTGTTACTATTATTTGTGACAAGTTCACAACTTCAACTGCACCTCGATATAAAATGAAGGTCCTTCCCCGCATGGGTTTTCGGCAACAAAACAACAACAACAACAAAACAAAAAACGATTTTTTTTTTTTTTTTTTTTTTTTTTTTTTTTTTTTTTTTTTTTTTTTTTTTTTTTTTTTTTTTTTGCCCCCAAAATAGGGGTGCGCCTTATACACAGGTGCACCTTATACACGTAGATTTACGGTAATGTATGAACAGGGCTATTATGACGTCATTAATCTTGTGATAAACCAATGGATCAAGAGAACGGAGTCCACCTGAATGGACCTTGCCCTTCTGTAATTATCCATTGAAGCAAGAAAGGTTTAATCATGTGAGATGATTGCGTTTAATGACGATTGCATTATACACCTGTACATTGCTGCAAATTAATGAAGTGTATACTACCAAAACATATTAGGTAATTAAAAGCCATTCTGCATAACTCGCGTTACATTTGGAGGAAATTTCTGCTTGAAATCTTCTTATAAATAATCATTGAATTTACCAGCGAGATAGGCTCAACATGAATTAATTTTACAATTTTATTGATACCTTTAAGTTTTTAGTTTTATTGGAACATTTGAAGGCATTATGCATACAATGGGCTCAAATAGAATCTTCCAACCCCAGTGAGAAAAAAGGAATACATTTACATGTATATGCTGCAAACTCTCTTTAATGCCTGTGCATTATTAAAAATCAATGCAATTTCAATTGAATGTGATAAAGGTACTTCATGTATCTCCCATTTGCAGCCAACATCAAATTCTGTAGAACTTTGCAGAAATCAAGAATATGTCACATACATGTATGTCCTATCTGTGGAATTTAAACGTTAGCAGTGCTCTAGTATTCAAATTGTGCATGGAAAAACGTTTACTTTGTAGACTTCAATGTCAGACATTGTTTCGAGTGACTGATTGACTTTTTCTTTGGTAATAACACACATAAAATGAGCATTTGTGTACATCAATAAACCACTTCTTGTAATGGCTAGAATAAAACTGATTGAATCTTTGCGCAGCACAAAACGTACACCATTCGGTAAACGGGTCTGAAAATCAGACTATTTACTGAAATTATTGCAATCCCTAAAATCCCACAAAAAGACATTTTCAAGCCCCTTCGTTTTGAAGGAAGTTCTATTAAAATTAGTGCTATCTTTCAAATGCCGTTGGAATTTAACCTTTTCATTTTTTGGCCTGCAAATGGTGAATATTTCAATTATATCTGCTTATTCTGGTATCATTTGTAGCCCCACTAATGATTACCTCTGTTTACCTGTACCATTAGTCAACACATCAGTGGATGACGTCATCAGCAAATTCCAGTGCCCTTTTACGATCAAAGTTCATGTTAAAAATGTGATTGATAAACTGCTGTTATTAAAGGCAATTAACAGTTTTTATAATTTGATATGAATATATTTTTCATGTACATGTATGTAATATGAATGATGAAAAATTTCATTCACCTTTCAATAATAGTTTTTTTTATTTTTATTAATGGCCACTGTATGCAATTAGACAAACCTTTACTATTACCGTAAGTGTTGATGCTTGTCATCAGGATGACACATCTATCAAATTTGCATAGAATGCAATCACAGTAAAGATATAGTTTACCAGGATACCATTTTTTTGTGATGAAAAATTCTGTCCAGTTTGTCATTGTCAAGGAAGTTTAACCCCCCCCCCCCCGCCCTAACAAACAAAGGAGAAGAAAAATACCCTAGTGAGATATTTCTCTAAGGAAATTAAATTTGTTGGTAATTATAAACATTATTTTTCTTCTCCAATTGCAGTTGTATAATGCAAGTTGTAAACAAAATATGCAAAAGCATATGTTGAAATTTCCTTTTTGCACAGCTAAAGAATATCTTTTGAATTGAATTTCATGCTTTTTTTTTACACCACATCATAATAGATTTGTGCACAAAATCAAACAGTTTCTTTAAAAATAGATTTAGAAAAATATAGAATGGCAGGCTCCATTTCCCGTTAATAATTTACAAAAAACTCCTGAACACAAAACCAAACAAAAAGTAAACAAAAAGGCCTGCTTAATCAAGAGATAGCGGTCAAGTTGGGTCAAGAGCATTGCCCATAGGGAAATTACAAATCCAGTCTTATCTTCTAGATTACGCAACAAAGTTAATATTTGATATGTTTAAAGGTGATATTGAGTACATGTATAGGTCATGCAGTTCTCATGTGAAAGAAACTGTATAGAAGTTATCCTGATTGTTTGTAGGAATGGTTCTGTATTCAACTTTAGGATTTGGAAATTATCAAAATGATAATTAGTTGACTGAATCATGCTAAAAGTCATCAGAGATATAGATGTATGGCCAATGGGACTACACAAACTTATGAAACTATTTCTAGTGGTACTTAATTTGATATATATACAAAAGCATTCCAAGGGTAATTCTTTCCAGGCGACATATCTACTGTTCTTTCTTACAGAAAGACATAGAATGAGAAATCCCACAACTTGTCTCACTTAAACCAGTTCTCAAATGTCTCTTTTATATTGTATTCAATCTAATTTCTTTCACTTTCAATATTTATGTGTTCGTTCGTTCGTGTCTCCTTAGATCAAGATTACTGTAATCTTGATCTTCGGAGTAGTTGCTACAACAGGCCGTGTCAGACACGTTGCCCCGGGGTGCGAGATAGGACTCTTGTAGCGTGCCCCCATTTAAAACAATTATACAGTTACAGTTAACAATACATTTAATTAATAGTATGAAACTATTAAAATTACTCTCATGTTACGGGAAAAAATATTGCATATACATATATTATGAATCAATTGATTTGGTCGATCCAGTTAGATGGCACAAACACGGCACTACTGGACAGAGAACCTAATAATTACAGAGCTTGGTCTTGTTGCTCTGTTCGCCAGCATTTTAAGGATATGGAATCCCGCGGCACATTACTCACAAGAGTTCTAACAAGCCAAGCTTATACAGAGCCTATAATAAGTAATGTCGTACATGTACCACCCACCCGATCGATCAAAAACTCATAACTCATAACTGAAAAAAAGTAAAAAGAAGAAAAAAACAAAAAACAAACACGAAATGGTAACCATCTAAAATGTTATGTGTTATACATGTATGACATAATATGTTTTTTTTCTTCCCCTGATACTTGCAGAGCCCTCAGTATGAATAGCCAAAGAGACAATCCTATGTGAATGCAATCATTTAGAAACAATAAAATGTCAATATTTTTATTTTTCAGTGTCACCAGATACTTTAACTGAAATGGTATCAAGGATGTCACCAACTGTGGGCATGGTCCATGGCCTGCCTTTCGTCCGTGACAGAGCTGGTTTCTCGTCAACGTTAGATAAGGTAATTTACATGTACTTGACCTCATATAATATCCTTTGGCCCATGACAGAGCTGGTTTCTCGTCAATGTTAGATATTAAGGTGATTAACATGTACTTGACCTGATAACAAATGTTTGGAATAGATTTGAATTGTCGGTAATGAGCCTGAAGTTAAAAAAAACCATGAGGCACATTAATCATGTCAATGAAAAAAAAGTGGCTAATGGCATAGTATTCATGTAAATCAAGAAGACCTGGGCCTAAGACTGATTCTTGTGGAACACCACATTTGATTTGCAGAATATTATCATTATGTATCCCTCATTGGCCTAAATTGGAGTTGATTATGAAAATAACTTTAAAACCACTGTACGAAGGAAACCTTAACCTTGTATACCAAATCGGTATAGTTTATGTAACAGTACAATTTATTAATACCCTTTTATAAACATTTCTTTCCCAAAGGTTTATTTTGGTGGAGCACATGCCCGGATGTACATAACGGCATGTGTTTTTGGAGTAAACTGTGTCTCAGGAATGCTCAACATTGTTAGAAAATCAATCTTAGAAGAAGCGGGCGGCTTAGTAGAATTCGCCAAGTACATTTCTGAGGACTATTACATGGGTATAGCTGTATTAAAAAGGTATGTGGATACAAATTTCATTTTTTTAAAGACTGTATTAATTTAGGACATCTATTTCAATCGCATCATTATGATTAATAATATATCTGTAAAGCGCTTCAGCACATTGTTGTATTGATGTATTGGGCGCTATATGAAAGCGGAATATTATTAGTATTATTATTATTAAGAGATTTTGGGGTATTTTAATTAAACAATGTCAAATCAGACTGAAGGCTAGTATGCATCTCTTGTCTTTTCACTTTCTGTAGTTTGTGATGACCCCACATTTGCTTCTGTTGGCTAATCAGTCAGTTGGCTTAATAAGGAATGCTTATTTAGATGATGAACTCCTTGATGTTCTTCGTATGAACGAACGATTTGCTTCTGCGACAATTGCTTCAGACCTATCTCCATCAAAGATGGGTCTTAAGCTAGGTTCAGGGTTATCTTTAGGATTATATTTAGGTAAAGCAATGCTCCACACTTACTTTTTTGGAAGGGGGTCCGGGTTGAACTTTTTACAGTCTGTATATATGAACCCTATGTTTAAAAAAAAATTGATAATAATCTAGGTGTCCGTACTTAAGTTTAGGGGCCCATGTGTATAGGGTTTTGTAGAGGGTTTTATCCATGGTTGGATTTGGAAATTTGGTAACTATAGGAAATTGACATAAGAGCAAATGCCCTCAGGCTCAGAACATGTTTCACAGCATCGTACTTTGGATCAGGTGCAAAACAATGCATTTGCTGATTGGAGAAAAAAAAGCTTGATTTATAAGGCAATCTTTTCCTGTCAAAAACCAGACAAGTGCAAAATAGGGGTATACATCACGCTGCCTGTCTCGTCACTCTTGTCTTCCTATTTCCTCATAGATAAGGGTCCTAGGAAAATATGATTGATAAATCTGTGGTGATAGTAGTTACTGTAAGATCTATTGGAAAGTGTGATAAGATGTCCTGCATACCTCAAGAAGATGAATTTGCCAATGACAGTCTTTTTCTGTTTTTGTCAGATTAGCAATGAATTTCTTTCTTTTGAACATTTTCTCTAAGAATTTTCTATCATTATATGTGAAATCATGTTAAAATGTAGCAAAATAAAAAGGAATATGCTCAATTTTTTTTACAGGAGGAAAATTCATGATAATCCATGAAAACTTACAGTTAGTCGGTTAGAACTCTCTCACTCACTCTCTCAGTCTATCGATACATCTCCCTCTATCTTTGATGAGTATGTGCATATAAATCATTTATTCATTTGACTTTCATTCTTTGATATTTTCTTTTTCTTCTGCAGTGGATTTAAGCAGAGGCTGAGTTTATTTCCTGCAATGCAGAATTCAGGCAGTGCGTCATTAGCATCATTTAGGAAAAGAATGGTCAGGTATGGATATACATGTTATGTTCCTCAAGTAACATTGGTGTAATTCATAAGCCAAAAACACATTTTCCACACAAAGTGATTTTAACCCTTTATTCGACTCTTATTATTCCTTCTCTTAACTACGGGATCCTATCTTGGAGTAACTCACAAACAACACAATCAAACAGAATATCACTACTGCAAAAACGAACTATGAAAATAATAGAAAACATTCATTTCGGCTCACATACAGATCCTTTACATGTATTTCTTAAAAACAAATTACTAAAAGTATATGACCTCTACCTTCTAAACCTGTATTCTGAATTTGTAAATGTAATTTATGTATTATTTAATTAATTGAATTTTTATTTAATTATTCATTCATTCAATAAAAGATGTGAATGTATTGCTTGGATATTTAACTAGGTAAGAATGACCTTTTTCGGGTAAGATGCCAGTGGGTACTAAAACAAACCATCAATATTGGAACACAAAGGTAAAACCTGTAAAGTTTCCTTTTCTTATAAACTGTGTCATTGTTTGTTTGTAAACTTTGGTATGATTTCTATTCATGTTCAAAAAGTTTAATTTCATTTACTTCTATTTTTCATTGAAATGGTGAAGCAATAAAACAGAAAAAAAAAAGATTAATGCCAATTGGAATAAGAAAAAACTCAGTCATATGTCAACCTCTATAGAAAACAGAAACGACTTCAATTATCACTAGACAGGCCCTAATATGGAATCCCCAGGGAAAGACAGAGAGGCCGGCCACTAAAAACCTGGCGACGAGATCTCCAGGCTGAGATAAAAAGATGGATTAGACCCATACATAGCTGCATTGTAATCCTGGCTGTGTATTAAAAGCTGTGCTATTGATACTCAACATTTCAAACACCACTGTACAAAAACTGATTTCACAAAAAATTGGTACTTTAGTGACTATTGATGACACCTAAATAGCAGTAAAATACAATTTTTTCAACTTACCGATGTTTTAGAAAGAATAATTTAAAAATGAAAATTGTAAATCTACTGTTAAACTTTGCTTACAGCCGCATTGGCATGATTGTGTGCATTTGTGTATTATGTGTGTATTGACTATTCATGTGAGCAAATGCTGCCTATTAACATGTAGTGCAGTGCTAGAGGTCAATACGCATTAGCATTGACTCTCTATGCTTTGCTGGAGTGGGTTAGACCTGGATTTAGCTCGAAATGAAAGCACAGGACAGACGACCATGGAGATCTCTCGTCCATGGCCTATACACTGGTGAGGGATGAATAGGCCTATTAAAGGAAGAAAGAACTAAACCTCCTTTTCCTGAATAGATGGCTTATTTAAACCTGCTTACATTTTGTTTATTGTACCTAGGTGGACCATGGTTAGAATAAGCACAGTACCTGTCACGCTCATAGGGGAACCCATAATGGAGTGCCTGGTGTTGGGCGTGGCTGTCTCATGGGCGGTCTACCACCTGTTCAGCTGGGATCCTTGCATCATCTTCATCTGCCACACCCTTCTCTGGTTCATCCTGGACTACTTTCAACTCAAAGTTCTCCAGGTAAGTGCATCTCTTGCCCTCACCCTTTAAAGCCCCACTGCTCTACTTATAGCTAACGGCGCCCTCTATATAGCAAACAATGCCTATTCGGTGACCATTGGTCCCCCATGATCCCCTTTTTCTCTTTTTCTCATCGAGAGCTGATTTGATGAGATAACCACCTGCCAGTGGCCATGCAGGATGGTCTAATCCCTCCTGGCCAAACTAGTGCAGTGGGGCTTTAATCCTTTCAAGACTGTCATTCCACATCTTATGGTTTAGCTCAATAGTCTTGATTCATAGCCCTAATAATATATGGGATGCATGAGTAGAGAGGGCAAAAAATTGCTTTCATTTTTGTTGATCCCATGAATGATGCTATGAAGGAGAAATAAACTTTAATTGGCAACAAAGTTAAAAAGTTAAAAATCATTGTGTTTCGATCTTAACTGGCCTTTTTTGTCGACCAAGTGATTGCCCATATTCATATCGGTTTTAAAAACGTTACATTTTATTCTAACAGAGTAGCAATAAAACGAAAATGTTGAAAATTTGAAGAACGTGTGATCGATTTAGTACTTCAAAAGTCCTGTCTTAAGAGGGATAAAAATATTTCTGCTGAAGATAAAAATTCTTCTCATTCTTTCTACATTATGTATGGGGTCATGAATTTGGTTCAAATGAACATATTGGAAACATATGCGATTTTACAATATTCAATATTGTTGTCGTGGTTGAAATTGAGTCCAAAGTGATGAAATTGTGAATAATAAACTCTTTATGTTGTATAGCTCCCTCTCAAGACTGATATTACTTAAGCTTTAAAAACAATGTTTCTTGACTACAATCAACCAATTTGTTAATCCTGTTTGAAAATTATTATCAGAATTGCATATTTGGAGATTTTCATGGTCGCAGCTACCATGGAATGGCCCAAGACGCTATTTGAAATATTTGAAATTTACCGGGAGCACCGGTAAGTTTTTGATCATTCAATTTCTCAAAAGCAGAAATGTTTTAGGGGCTTAATTTGTTAGTGCTTATAATACATCCACAGGGGCATCCAAATATGTCAAAATTAAAAAGAATTACTATCCATCCAATTTTCAAAATTTCCCAAAACTTTACATTACCTTTCAGTGGATTTTATATTCTCATGCTTCTATTTCTTTCTTTCCTCTTTATCACCTACGCAGCGAGGTCCCCTGAACTTCACCAAAGTGGACTATGCATTGGCCTGGTTCTACCGGGAGATCATGTTTATCTTCTACTTCCTAGAGGGCGCTCTAAGCCAGACGGTCACATGGCGGACGGGGACGTATCGTCTCCGGTGGGGCGGGTACTTGGAAGAATGCTGACACCGAACCTACGAATCGTTGTAGAAATGCTGACACCGAACCTACGATCCGTTGTAAGACTTTGAATGAACAGAGAAAAGAAGGTGCTCATCGACTGAAAGCGTTGTCCGCAGAGGTTCCAAAACTTCTTCACCCGGTACCGTTTCCAAAGAAACATTGTGCAATGAGGGCTGTAATAGTTTAAAAATGGTTGTGTTAAACTCTACAAATACGCCAATTCTGTGTTTGGCATGAGACATCAGTATTGTCATACAATGAGAAACAGAAGGACGTTAAATCAATTTCATTTTTTTTCTTCCAATCAGTGTATATATCACAATATATTTTGTCTTACAGTGACATACAGAAAGGCATTAACTCAAGTTTGAGATTTTTGAAGTATCATTCCCATCGTGCCCATCTGATTTTAGTAATATAATGTTAAGAATGATTTGCTCATTTCTATATCATCAGTTTGAGGCTAGAATGGTGTTACTTCATAGCATTCAATGCCAACTTAATGACAAAGGATAAAGGTAAGCTCAGCTTTGAAAGGCTTCAGCTACAAAAGTGATCCATTTGTCTGTTGGTATCAAGATCCAATCCAATCCAGGAATTTATAAAGCGCCAATATCTAGTTGCCTAATCAAAGGCGCTGATGAGACTGAAAAACTACCAAAAATTTCTGTTCATGATTCTAACTTGGAAAGACAATTAAGATCATCCAACCATTTTCATATCAAATTACTTCAATGATAATCTTCCTTAAGGAAGAAGAAAAAATAAATTTGAAGCTCTCAGTTATTTGTCAGCTTTATCAGTACTCACATGTCTCTTAATAAAAGGAATATTTTCACTTCAGCAGCAACAAAATTACAAAGATGATTCCCACGGCTTTCTTGCATGACAAGACATTGTACCCTTTCAGCTCTCGCAAAGGTCTTCGGAGGCGGGTTTGCTCAGTTGCTAAACCATCTACCCGTCAAACCAAAGATCATTGGTTCACATCGAGCAAAGGTAGAGGATTGAAAACCTTTGGGGTGTGTGAAGCTGCCCCAACATTTGTTCATAGACACAGGCTAGGTTGCAGTGGGAACAGGCTCTGTCCCTCGGATAGGACTTTAAATGGAGGCAACGTGCGGGAGAAGTGTCACCACCCTAAATACATGAAGAAGTGAAGAACTCACTCACTAGAATAGGGGAAACCTGGGACCTGTTTCACAAAGCCTTTTTTTCAAGGACAAATGACAAAACTCAGTGACAAATCTGCTGATAACCAATCAGAAGCAAGGATTTCAGTAGCTTATAACCAAAACTGTCATTTGTCACTGATGACAAGTTTTGTGAAACACTCCGTGGTGTAGCGGTACACCTGCACATCCCAATCAGCAGTACAGGGAGGAAAGACCTTGGGGTCTCAGTGATTAAAAGATGAAAGTTGAGTTCAGGGCCCCGTCTTACAAAGAGTTGCAATTGATCCAAATCAATTGCATTCCTACGATCAATCGCAAGTTTGCAGTCTCCTATCTCTTATGTACATAGTTGAGATTGATATCAATTGCAAAGAAGTTTTGATTGATATCAACACTTTGTAATACAGGGCCCTGGTCAAGCAATTCCTATGTGAAAGAAGCAATTGGGAAAGGTACATTATATAGCACATAGAGATATGTGTAGATTGTGAGGTTTTGGATTGGTCAAAATGACCAGAAACTTACTCACTCCTCCTGAAAGCCCTGTGCACTGCACACAGGAATGCATCTATGGGACTACACAAACTTGTGGCATTGAAGTTTGGTCCAAAGCTTTCAGCTGTTTCTCGTAATATATCGTACAGCTCCTTCTTCTGGATTCAGGACTTTGTAATATGTGACCTCATGGTTTTCACTGTGCGTTACGTTATCTTCAAGCCTAAGTTCAAGGCTAAGTACAAGGTCAGTACTGTACTATACAGTAAAGGTGAATCAAGTATCAATCAAATATAAAGTGTCTTCAGGGACGTTGTGGTAACTTGTTGGAGTTTTTCTGTAAATCTATATAAATCTATTATAGAAATTTATCTGTGAATAATAGTTTATGGAGGTAGAAAAAGATTAAATGTACTTCTAGCTCATGAATGTAGACTCATTTTTGGTCTAGACTTTGTTTTAAATCTTAATGACTTTTTACTCTATGTCGTCAGTGAAGCTTTGGAGTAACATTTTGTTTGTTTTGTCTAATGTCGGGTTTATTGTTGGAAACTAGTAGTCTTATTGATCAGTAATAATACTTGTCTTTACTACAGGGTAGATTCTAGTGCTGATGTTGATGTTCACAGTAGGGAATTGGATCTTCGTTGATGACAATGAGTTGGCAGAGTTGTCCAGTCAGCTAATTTTGGAAAAAGATATGATATAGGAGGCAGTTGTTCTTCTTAAAATGACTATCAAGCTTATTGGCACATGCTTTCAGAGAGTCCTGAACAAGCGAAGATCGCTAGATATGGTAAAAATAATTATCCTAAATTTGTAAGTTTGTTGACTCGGTTGTGTCGATAGTGTTTAAAGCAGGAGGACTTCATATTGACATGTAGACAGAGAAACCGCGATGATTACCGCACAAGAAAGTTCATCTTTAATCAATGTAACTTCTTGTTCATGTTATGTCAGTGTGGTGTCTAAGACGTATTCACCCAACTTATATTTGCACACTTGCTATGCTATAGCATGCAAGTTGACAATGTAACAAATGTACAATCCATCTTCTAATGCATTTGTCACTGCCCTGTAGTCATGCGTTATCTTCATCCTTTTTTCTCTGTGTGTCTTATCATCTCCTATTAAATTGAGCAGTTTCTTGCCAAATTCCTATTTAAAGTCATTACATGGCCTTATTGTACATACATGTATATGTATCTATACTTTATTTACCAAATAAGGTTCCCTGATCTGTTGGGCAACATAGTTTATCCATTTTTAAAATTAGAGAATCTTATACATAATACACTTTATAGATGATGTTTCAAATGCATTACAATATAACATTCAAAGGTGTAGTGTTTAAAATGTGAAACTAGGAAGTTGAAAGAAATTTTAATCATAATAAGCAAGAGAAATTGATCATTTAATCCAGGAGTGTAATTGATTGCAATTGCATCAGCTAAGGTGAGAGATGAGTTAGATGGATGGGTCTGTGGTTATTGAGGGGTTATATGAGAACGTGTTAATTAAGAATAGGGGATGTTTCACAAAACCTTTTTTCAATGACAAATGATACAAATCAGTGACAAATCTTCTGATAACCAATCGGAAGCAAGGATTTCACTAGCTAATAACAAAAGTTGTCATTTGTCACTGATGACAGGTGTTGTGAAATGGGGTCCATGTCTATGGGCAATTCCACATTATTTTGTTCTATACGTTGCAGACCACATCCAAGAGGTTTACGTGTGTGATGATCGTGTTGTGTACAGTGTTGATTTAGAAACCATACAAGAGCTTGGATCAGGGACCCATTTCACAAAGCCTTTTTCAAATGACAAATGACAAAAATCAGTGACAAATCTGTTGATAATCAATCAGAAGCAAGGATTTCAGTAGCTTATAATAATAACTGTCATATGTCACTTGTGACAAGTTTTGTGAAACGCCCCCCAGGACCTAAGGCTAAGGTCAAGTGAAATGATACTTTTGATAACAAAAACCTTGGATATGCCCCTTTAGATGTTGTCGGTTTGGAGCCAGAAGGGTGCTAACTCATCTTATCTACTTTAACACAGAGTTAACATCCTTCTGGCTTTGAACAGACGGGAGACACTGCATAAGATACGGTTAAGGTTAAAGTTGAAGATATCAACAGAAGGTTATTAAACTCCAACCTACCTGCACATATCCCCCTATACTCAACTCATGTATGCTCTTCATCATATCATATATAATTGTATTCAATTATCTATTTAGTTATTCAATTATTCAATAACCAAGCATGCTACATGGACTGGTTTAACCATATTTGATACGAAGTCGGCAACAATTCGCTGATATATGACTCTCAAAATATGGATATTAATCATCTTATGCGCAATCACAGAGACCAATGTAAATCTGAATTATTTAACCTCATATGTTTAATGACATGATACCAAATTGACAAATGTGTAATCAATTTTTGCTTATTTCAACCCAGTAGTACTACGTTGTTATACATTTTTATTTATCTTAGTTGTGAGTAGTATGTTGTCTTTCATTGTGCTATGTGATACTTAGATGTGATTTGTAAAAACGGAGGTTCTGCTAGGGTACATGATCAAGGGCCTATGATGGAAATTGTGCCAAATGGCAAAAAAATTGAGAAAATTTGAAGAGGAAGCTTGTAGATTACTTTGGTAAATGAAGCTTTTTTGTAGAGCTAGAATACTTTCCTTACATTCTTATACCCTTGGGATTGTTCATATTTGAGTGGATTACCGTGTACTTTCTATAATGAAGTGCTGAATTATTTTGTTTATCGTTGCAAAACCAATTTTTAATTCTGGCATGCCCCCAGGATCCCTTGTTCCCTGTTTTGCTATGTAATATGCATCCAGCCACTGGGTTCAGAGGGTGGGGGGGGGGGGGTTACAACTTGCCATGTACCCCATCTGGAAACTCAAGTTGCATACTGTTTAAAAGGTCTTATAAGTCCAAATTTTATCAGATAATTTTGAAGTAAAAGGACACCAAAAAGTTTTTAATGATGACCTTTCTTTGCATTGAGTAACAAGATCTCAGTCATTTTGAAACTTAATTTTCTCCATTCCTCAGTTCAAAGGAAAAGCTTGTTTTCATTATTAAATGTATTCATACGAATTCTTATCCATTTCCCCTGTTTTTTGTTTTGTAAATATGCAATGGATTAAGAGACATCAATTTAAATGTTGGATCTTATGATATAACTATAAAAGCTCCTTCTCCCGAGAGAAAGTCACAAACCAAAGGATAAATTTACCTTTTGATGATTAGACCCTCTGCGAATTGACAGTTGTATTTTTTTTTGGGGGGGGGGAGGAAAAGTAATCCCTCTCAAATTTGTGTAGTCCCACATGTAAAGAGTGAGGAAAGTAATAGTTTATTTGGTGGTATATGTGGTTAATTTCCTGATGGTTCTTGTTTGTGTACAACTAGTGATATGTATTAGCATGAGGTATGAATTTGCGGTGTTTTGTGGTAGACTCTAAATGATTCTCTGCTAATTGGATTTGTGGCGAGATTAACAAACGGATCATGTATCATTGGTATTTTGTAATTGTATGTACATGTAACTCATTGGTTATGACTATTATTTTTTTCAATCCTGAGAAATACCAAATGAAAGTAAATGCTTGGTGAATTCAAGTGAGATATTTGATATGGTATCATGAAGGCTCTCTGAATATGTCATTTTAACCCCTTTGACCATGAATTTCTGAAATGTATTTATTAAATTATAACTTGAAGTTGAAAAAAAGCTCTGTGGCAATTTATATAAATGGTAAACGAGTCTTTGTATGCGGTAACTTAGTTTAGATTTGATTGGAAGGTATGTAGTAAATCTTTGAATATTTTGATGAATGATTAGAGATACAAGCTGTAACAGTGATTTATGTAACATTTGTATACACTTTTTGAATGATTTTGTACAATATTCAAATTTTATTATTGATTTGTTTGATTGCTATATTAATGGTAGAGGTACTTTAATCGACCTCTTCCAAATATTATGTAAGTGAATGAAGGCATTTCTACTGTAGCCACTATAGGGCTAAACTAAAGGATTTTGCTTAGAAACTCCTACAAATCAGGACTACAAAATGGGTTCATAGATTGTTTTATTGAATCCACTCTGCGCAGCACACTATAAGGTATGAGAAACCTGCTCACGTGGTATGCCTCGACCCCCCGAGTTCCCGGAAGCACTGTTTGTACTTGTAAAGTAAAAATAATTATACCTTGTAAAAATCTACTTCGACTGTTTGCTGCATTTTGATCTCATTTCCAATTTTCCTTCACTGCATGTGATGCAATGCTGCTTATAAAATAAAAGTCATGCACATGATGACAATGTTGGTTGGTCTGATGCTGCGGATGTATGCACAAATTCTCTATATCATCCGCAAAAAGCCGGAACGGCGTTGACGCTGATATTTTTACCCAGAGATAATGCCCTTCAGGGCCGGTATTCAATTCAATACCTATGTCAGAATTAGGTAAGTTTTCTTGGCTTAGATAAAATACTTGGCCAAATATGATATTCAGTTGGAGCTTTTGGCTAATCATTTTACCTTTAAGACGTTCCCTTGCAGACTGAAGCCAATTATTTTGGAGGTCCATATCGGCAGTCGTATGGTTATCATAAGCAGTTACCTTAAGCCGCGCACAATTAATAATGCGACGCATTAATTTTGCATAGTTTAGATTAACCATGTGATGTCACAATGCTTATCAGTAAGTCTTTTGCTGAAGTAGAATGCTGAGGTATGATCTGAATAGGAGTTGAGACATATTACTAAGCCAATGACGATTCTTAGTAAAAATATTAATTTGATCTGCGTACTGAATTGAATACGGCCTCTGGCTCTTAACAGACAGTACGTTTTCTGATAGTATCTAGCTAGCTGCACACATATCTTGGGGCTTGCCTAGCCAAAGACTTTTTGATTACTGGTATTTATTTTTAAATCAAGCGCTAGGTCAGGCACATGTAGTAGCAGATTAGTATAGGGGTAGGGTCCTAGTAGACTGCATCTCGCCATTGCTCTTTCAACCTCGATGCATATCAATGCCAATTTTCTATGTAAATCCAATTTCTCCTTCTAAGTTAAACAAAATGTAAATAAGCTCCGTACAGGTTTTGATTTAATTTTAATTTTATGTCACAAAAACCAGCTGATTTGATCCTCCTACCTTAGTGGAACATCAGTTTCATTCCTGCTAGTATTTGAGTATTTATGCATGATAAGGAAGTTTGGGTATATTTTCATATTTCTCTTGGGAAAGGGGCATGTTATTACCCCTGCTTCCCTAACCAATTTTTTTTTTTTTAATTAAAAAAAGTTAGAATTGGTTGGTGGTGGTTATTTTACCTGACTGCTAAGAAAGCATAAATGCTTGTAAGTAAGCAACCAGACGGCCGACGGCTTTAGGTCCTCTCCGAGGGACCTGGTATTAATGATTAATGCCTTACCAAAGGGCACTAGCGCAGACCACTGCTCTACCGACTGAGCTATCCACATTGTGATTCTGTAATCATTCATTGAAACCCCACTACAGGTGTTGATCGTAATTATGCAGCAGTATATTTATTAATAAGTATTAATGTGTTGATGGTTCAAGATGATTCATTGAATAATTTCATGTGATCATTCGGGATACGCCCCTGGGGGGGGGGGGGGCTGGTAATTTTAACCATTTCATTCTTGAACAGGGTTTTACTTGAAACAGTACAGTGTTTTGCTTGGCAGTTATTTGTGAGTTGTGTGGTTACTAGCCTGCTGTGCTCAACATGGGTTCTCTAAAGAGTCGATCCGACCTCACCGATACAACGAGAATTCATTCTAAAATCTCTCCCCTTGTTGTCTATAAATTTGCATGCGAAGCTCCAAAACCCTTTTATTTGGGTGACATTATATTTTGGTGTAGCCTCAGAAATGTATCAACTGTTTGATACATAAGGGGAAAAATCTAAAAAATCAAAATCAAAATCAAACTTTGGATTCCTCAAAAAATTCTGTCTTTTGAAAGCAAGGTCCTGTGGGGTTGTCTTTCTAGGGTTGTGTCATTATGTATCACAACGATATGAAATACAGGAAATCTATATTTTGATTTCTTGACTTGGGCCAACACTGTAAATTACCTCAATTTTGTTTGATTGCGAGGGAAATATACTGTTTATTTTGTACATATTATGTAAATAAGAAGAAACAAACATATTTACCAATTGATCGACTCTACAGGTAAACCGACCTCAAACTAATCATCATTGTGATTTATAAGTCTTCGGCGAAGGGTTAATACTTGTGTAACTCTGCAGTATTATTACAAAATTTTATGCCCAAATTTATGAAGAGGTGTAAAAAGTTCTATAAATTAACACTGATGCCTGCAGTATTTGGAAAAGGGTTGTTTAATGCCACTTGTTTCAAACATTGTGAAGGTTATAAGTGATAAGTTTATTCAATTTATGTGAAATTAGCTCTCATACTGCATATTGTTGACAGTGATGGATTGGAAGGCTAACATGGAAATATATTATGCTATCATGATTTTTTTTCGTAAAACACATTTCTTGCAGGCTTTGTTTGTAGTGTCCACTGTGATAAAGAGAGAGAGAGAGAGAGGGGGGGGGGCGTGGGGAGGTATGATAAATAAAATGAAGGGATGAACAAGAAAGGGATATGGAGAGAGTGGGGGTGAGAGGAGAAAGAAAAGTAGAGAGAGAGAGAGAGAGAGGAAAAGGGGGTTAGGTTGGGAGTGTATGAGAAGTAGAGAGGGGGAGAGTGGGAAAAGACGAGGAGTGGGAATAATGAGGATGGAGAAAGAAGAGACAGAAATATACGGAGAGGATGGGTAGGGAAAAGGAGAGAGCGAGAATAAAAGAGGGAGAGAGAACTTTTTCAAAATATGTGGCTGATTCATTTTGGGAAAGGGGCACAGGGCCATTTCCCCCGTCAAATTTGTTATGTATCTTAAACACAAACAACAACTATTTGCTCCTTGTTGTAGGCCTCCCCCGGCAGGTTTTAAATCAAAGGGGCGCCTTCAAAAATAGAATGTTATCGTTATTTTATTTTATTTATGTATTCAGTTGTTAATGCTTACACCTGCTTTACCTCCGATAAGTGCCCCTTTTATTTTGACACGTGCCCCTTTTCTTTCGACAAGTTTCCACTTTCCTTTGCAATAAGTGTCCATATTTCATTCTCATAAGTGCCCCAGTCAGGTACGAGAAGTTACTCCTTTTCACTTCAGATAAGTGCTCCTTTTACCTCCGAAAATTGCCCCTTTTTAAATCTGAGAGATGCTCATTTTACTTTGATAAGTGCCCCTTCCCCTCCTGATGACTGCCCCTTTTATTTTGACACGTGCCCTTTCCTTTTAACATGTGCCTATTTTTCTTTTAGATAAGAGCCACTTCCCCTCCTCATAAAAGCTTCCTTAAACCTCCGATAAATGCTCCTATTAAAATCTGATCGGTGCCCCGTTTC